CAGTCACCAATGGGGCCCCCATCCCTGGACCTGAAAGATGGAAAAATATGCATTAAGTCCAATACAGCATTGATGTACGGCTCTCAGATTTTATTTTCCATTGATTTATTTGTTTTTGGTAGATCTTACAGATTATTATAGACCAGTGGTTCTCAACCTGTGGGTTGGGACCCCATTTGGGGTCAAACAACCATTTCACGGGGGTTGCCAAACAATGCAGTCTGCCATTTTTTCCCCTTTTCCTTAGCTGTGCTACTCCCTTTTATTCTATTGGCTTTTGAAAGCCAATAGAATAGACTCTCTTGAATAGAGTCTAATTCTATTGGCTTTCAAAAGCCAATAGGAATTGTCCAGGCTGTCTCTGCCCTGCTGAGCCCGCCAAAAGTCCCATTCTGCAAACGGTGCTGCAGGTTGTCTGCAGCGAAGGCGAGTTGTCTGGAAGTTTCCACCCCTCCCTGCTGAGCAACTACTAAAAATGTAAGTAAAAGCGGGCCAGGGATGGGAGGTGGGAGGCCGGCAGGTGCAGGGAGAGTTGCTGGCACGCGTGGGACCCGGCAGGTGCGTTACCTCCCTTGGGCGGGGCCAGCTGGTGGCCCAGCCGGTGGTCGGCCTGTGCCGTCTCTGCCGCTTGCCAGCTACGTCTCGGTCAGCGCAGGGGGCAGCACCATGCATGCGCGGCGCTCCCGGGCAGGGAAAGTCCTTGCCTTACGACCGGTTGGGTAGTCCTCGCCTTACGACCGGTTGGGTAGTCCTCGCCTTACGACCGGTTGGGGTCGCGGCATTAAAAAGGTTGAGAACTACTGTTATAGACCATTCACCGATTTTTCTCTACCAATCTGGGGCATATAAAACAAGCTTAAATTAGGAAGAGTGTCTAGGAGTAGAAAAGTTGTGGTTCTTCAGATGCTGGTTCTTCAGTTCTCTGCAAGTCCAGCCAACATGGCTAATAAGAAGGGTACAAGAAGATGAAGTACAGCTATAGATTCTTCAAGGACCCTTAATCAGAATACCTTAAAACAGGAGTCTCCAACCTTGGCGACTTTAAGACTTGTGGATTTCAACTCCCAGAATTCCTCAGCCATCCAGTGGTGGGATTCAGCCGGTTTGCACCGGTTTAATAGAACTGGTAGCTAAATTTTGCTGAGTTCGGCGAACTGGCTGAATGCACACTGCTTCCAGAAGTCCATTCTAGGCCTCTGGAAGTTCATGGATGCCACTTCCAGAAGTCCATTCTAGGCCTCAGAGGCCCAGGCCTGCATCCAATAAGAGAACCGGTTGTTCAGGTATTTGAATTCCACCACTGCAGCCAGCCATGCTGTCTGGGGAATTCTGGGAGTTGAAGTCCACAAGTTTTAAAAGTTGCCAAGGTTGGATATCCTCATGCTTTAAAGAATCCATGTGTCTCCTTCCCTTTAAGAAAAGACATTCACCTTTGGTGAAAGCCACTGCATCAATGTCCTGAGGTTTCAATCCAGCCTCTTCTAGGGCTTCACGCAACACAGTAAGAACGCAAGAACGGTGGTGACGTGCTGTGTCACCTGGAAGGAAACCTACAGAGTGAGACCAAAATGGGAAAAGGTCAAGGTTGAAAGAAGATGGACCCACATTCTGTGTTACCTAAGCCCAAACTAATGTGGTTGGATCAATTTATAATTATGTTTTCTTTCTCAACTCTTGCAACTTTAGTTATTGTCTTTAGAATACAGCCTCAGTGTTTCTCATCACTGTTCCTGGAAAAAACTACTTTTTGCACATCGGAGGAAGTGGTTTTGTTTAAGAGAAAAAACATGGTTTCTTAAACTTCAAAAAAAAAAGGCAGCCTTCCATGCTAAATTGCTAGTATCACCTTTAGTAAAATGCTAATACTAAAGCTTATAATTTCATATAACATAAGCTATTGTAATTGAGGTTTGTTTTGTAACTTGAACAGATGCTTGTAGTGAGTGCAGATAGTCCTTGACTTACGACCACAGTTGAACCAGTTAAGTGTATTATACCCATTTTACAAAACTTTTTTTGCCAAAGTTAAGTGGTTGTTAAATAAATAGTGTAGTTATTAAGCAAATCTGGCTTCCCGTCTTTGACTTTGCTAGTCGGAAGGTGACTGGAAAGTTACAAATAGTGTTTACATGACCCCGGGACAGTGCAACTGTCATAAGTACATGCCAGTTGCCAAGTGCCCAAATTTTGACCATGTGGATGCTGCAACAGTCCTAAGTGTGAGAAACCGTCATTTCACTTTTTTCAATGCTGTTGTAACTTCAAACAGTCACTAAATGAATGGTTCTAAATGTATAACTACCTATAATACTAATTCTACTTTATTCCAGAATGGAGGGGCCATCACAGAAAAGACCCTGCTCCCTTATTTTCGCCAAACTGTTTTCTCTTTTTGGGGACATGAGGACAGATCTATGTAAATACACTTAAGACTGAGTGAATTATTATTTTTTAATTAATCTGGCTCCACTTCTTTAAATCCAGGAAAAATGCTGAATTTTTTCAGCAAGCGGCCCACCTTCTCTCATAGCTTTTTTAGGCTGGAGACCTCCAATGACTTCAACTCCCAGGATCCCTTCCTTGGCACCACACCAACAAGGAATTCTGGGAGTTGAAGTGCAACTAGAAAGCACCAGGCCGGATAAGACCATATATGGGAAATAACACAAGATAAGATAACCTTTATTGTCATATTTTTTTTTTTTACTGTGGGTACCCTGGCACACATTAAAAATGAAATTCTGTTCCCTGCTCTCAAAAGTGTACACATACATAACACACATATAAACATGCTATATACATACATATGTATATATCTGCACCCTTACATATAAATACGTATAAATATTAACCACTGTCCATCAAGATACCTACCCTGTCCCGGAGGGGTTACATATGTTCGTCGGGGATTGCTCAGCACTTCCCCATCCCTGACAATCCCAATTCCGATCTTGTTGGCGCTGCCCTCAAAGCCGATCACTACGGGCATCTCTTCCTGGAACACCCGAAAGAAAGTGAAATTTGATTTCTTGCAGCAGAAGCCACGGAGACCCGGGAATCTGCAGCGATCCTAAGATCCAGCGGGTCGCCAGGCACGATTTCCTTGTTACAGCCGGGCAGCAATTTAGCTAACAAGGAACAGGAAATTTGGGGAAAATGAATCTTTTACGTCTTACCTCCGGTTTCTTTCCTCTTGATGCCTGGCAGCCTTCCTCACGTTGCTTTATTTCGAAAAGCTCAACGCATCCGCAGTACACGGGAAAACCACGCGTGCAACAAAAGTATCTTGGAAGGAAAACCCAGCAGCAAAGAAAGGGTTAAATCGCATCGAGTCCTTCCCCCCCCCCTTTCCCTTTTCTTAAAACTCTTAAGGAGATTTTCTAGAGATAGATAAAAGACCCTGGTGTACCATACAGCATACACGAGCGGCTTTCACTTGACAGCCACCACGTGAGGATTAGAATTAGATTTAGGATTAGATTAGCTTTCTGAGCTTGGTTAATTTCTAGCAGGCGTTTCATTACAGAGTGGAATTTTTTTATTGGTCAAGTGTGATTGGACACACGAGGAATTTGCCTCCGGGGTATAAGCTCTCAGTGCACATAACAAGCAATGTGTGACAAATCATGATCATAGTCATGGTAAAAAGGCATTCATCATAAATCATAAGGTAAAACACTTTGTGATAGCCACAAGATACTAAATAAGCAATCAACACAAACCATACTAAGATACTAAATAAAGCAATATAAATAAGATACAAGCAACAAAGTTCTAGTCGTCATTTGATTAGGAGATAGGCAATAGGAAATATGAGAATAATAGCAATACAGCCTTACTAGATAGTTTGACAGTATTGTGGGAATTAGTTGTTTAGCAGAGCGATAGCATGGGGGGAAAAAACTGTCCAAACTAGGAAACATCATGAGTGCTAGTAAGTAGTGGGGTTTCATCTCAATTTATATTCTAGTGACTAATGTAGAATATACATTGACAGCAAATGTCCACTCCTTTCTAGAACTGATGATGTTACCTAGTTGGGTAATGAAATGTCTTCAAGAAAACAACTAAGCTCAGAAAACACCAAGGACCCTTAATTTCAGAATCAGAACAGAGCTGGAAGGGACCTTGAGGTCTTCTAGTCCAGCCCCCTGCTCAAGCAGGAAGACCTATACCATCTCAGACAAGTGATTGTCTAGCTAGCCTCTTCTTAAAAAATCTCCAGCCATGGAGCACCCACGATTTCTTGGGGCAAGCTGTTCCACTGGTTAATTGTCCTCACTGCCAGGAAGTTTCTCTTTAATTCCAGGTTGCTTCTCTCTTTGGTCAGTTTCCAACCATTGTTTCTTGTCCTGCCCTCTGGTACTTTGGAAAATAAATTTCAACCCTGGCCTACAGATATTCTCCTTTATTGATTATTGCACATTGAATAATCAATATCGATTATTGATAAGAAGGGGCAAATTCCAACCTCAGTATTTTTACTTAAAATAAACCGACTTATTAAATATCTGCATGTAACTTTTTTTTTTTTTTTTAGAAAGGAGACCGCGTTACGTTTTAGATTAGAACCTTTTACTTCGCCGCGATCCCCCTCTTTAGTTGTTCGATTGGGAACCGAAAGTGTTGATGCTTCAGGGTTTGCAGACAATTTTCCGGGAGCGGTTAGAGAGGGAACGCCTGACGTCACCCGGTCATTAAACCCCGCCTCCTCCCTCGGCACGTGAGGGCGCTTTCTGGCCATGTCTTCTCTTAACCTCTTCTTTGCCGACCCGAGCCGAGCCGTTCCTCGATTTCTTCCTCTGCCGCGGCGTTTCCTTTCGCTTTAAGAGAAAGCTCCGCCTCTTGCCCGCCTCAGCCTCTGTCACGTGACCATCTCCACTCCACGTGTTTCTCTCTCTCTCTCTCTCTCTCTCTCTCTCTCCATTCAGGGATTCCTGCGGGATTTGCAGCCGCCTTGGGGTGCGTGAAGGAAAGCCTCGCGGTCCGGCGTGGTGAGAGCCGACGTGGCTTAACATAAAATCATTATTTTAATAAGGCTTTTCCTAATTGCATTTCATCTACAAACGAGCAAGGGTCGGTGTCCGGCCTTCCCTCTTTGCATTTTGTTAACCCCCCCCTTGCTTTTAAGAGCGGGGTGCCAGGTAGAAATTCAACAGGGGTAGCTTCAAAAGAACGTCTGCCTTCTCTTCCTAGGCGGATCGAAAACGATGCAATATATATGTATGTATGTATGATGTTACTTCCAATTTGATGCGGGAAAAAACCCGAATAATAAAAATTGGATTGTATAGGGATGGGGAGGGAATGAAATAGGTAGGGGTATAACATAGGGTAAAGAACAAGGATTAAACCAAAGGTAGGGATAGGTACAATAGTGGGGTTACCCCCAACAATAAATCAACACTTTAGCAAGCAGACTACCATCCCGGTGTACATGTTAAATGTCCGTAGTTTATAATAATACTAAAGAGCTATGTTAAATAGACCTATCACTAATAATAAGAATGAGAAATTAACCAATACATATTCATTCTACGAATAACAATAATGTACTATTAATATATTACTAATTGAATATAATGATAAATAAATTTATAAATACTAATATATTGCTTGTTAATTATAATTATAGGTAAAATCAAAAATATAAGAGTATTCATAGCAATCAGATAAGATAAAAGTTGAATAAAAGGTATCATTTATCCCATTTAATTTCATAACCTTTTCTCATTCTGTCGTATTGCTAACCATTGATAGAATTTTGATGGGTTAACTTTTGATATTGCCAAAACTATTGAGGATACAATGAAAAGAGGTTCGGTCAATCGGAATAGAGCTGGAAGGGACTTTGGAGGTCTTCTAGTCCAACCGCCTGCTCAAGCAGAAGACCCTACAGCAGGATTCAAGCAACAGGAAGCCCACCCTGGTTTTGTTAGGCTGCTTAGATCCTGCAAGTTATAACAAAATTGGAAGGGACCTTGGAGGTCTTCTAGTCCAACCCCCTGCTCAAGCAGGAGACCCTATGCCATTTCAGACAAATGACTCTCTAGCCTTTTCTTAAAAGCCTCCAGTGATGAAGCACCCACAACTTCTGTGGGCAAGTAGTTCCATTGGTTAATTGTCCTCACGGTTAGAAAATTTCTCCTTAATTCCAGGTTGATTCACTCCTTGCTTAGTTTCTATCAATTGTTTCTTGTTCTGCCCTCTGGTGCTTTGGAAAATAAATTGACCCCCTCTTTTTTGTGGCAGCCCCTCAAATACTGGAATACTGCTATCACGTCACCCCTAGTTCTTCTTTTCTCTAGACTGGCCATAGCCAGTTCCTGTAACCGTTCTTCATGTGTTTTAGTCTCCAGGCTAGTTGTTCTTCTCTGCACTTTTCCCAAAGTCTCAACATCTTTTTTGTAATCTGATGACCAAACCTGGGTGCAATATTTCAGGTGACAGAAATTCTGGTCCCAATTGTGGTTGTAAGCCGAGGTCTGCTGGTACTCTCAAAATTAAAAAGGTCCCCATCAGTAGAAAATGTGCTTTTTTTCAGCGTGCTTCTAGAACTGCAGAATAAAGCAGCATTAATTATATTTTTAGTAGCTGCATTACATTGTTGGCTTGTGTTCAGCATTAGATCAGCTGAGATACTTGGACCCTGTTTGGAAAGTAAAGCTCTGTCTCTTGTCCACTGTTTCCCCTGCCAAGGAGAGGGTGTTTGGGAGACAGCCTTCATCATATCATTTGCTTCAAGGAAAGTGATATTCATGCAATTGTTGGCATCTTAACTATCTAAATCATTTGTCCTTTGTTCTCATCAAGGACTTTGGAGGCTTGCTGTTGGCCAAAAGATATGTCAGCCAATTAAATGGCTGTAGCCTTCCAAGATCCAATTTATTCTCCTAAGAAGTTTTAATTTGGAACGGATTCTTTGCAAATGGGCAGAATTGACGACCAACGAGTCATTTTTGTGGGGTCAGGAAGGTGGGTTGCTGATGGAAGAGAGGAACAGTGGATGCATTTGGAGGAGGAAGAAGGCAGCTCTCAGGATATTCTGAAGGAAAATAAAGCCTGTTTGGGTGTAAACGGGGATAGAATGCACTACAGGTCGTCCTCAACTTACAACAGTTCATTTAATGACCATTCAAAGTTATAATGGCACTGAAAAAAGTGACTTAAGGTTGTTTTTCAAACTTACGACCGTTGCACCATCCCCACGGTCATGTGATCAAAATTCAGCTACTTGGCAACTGACTCATATTTATGACAGTTGCAGCGTCCTGGGTTCATGTGAACCCCTTTTGGCACCTCCTGACAGGCGAAGTCAATGGGGAAGCCAGATTCACTTAACAACCGTGTTATTAATTTAGCAAGAGTGATTCACTTAACCACTGTGGCCAGAAAGGTCGTAAAATGGGGCAAAATTCACTGAACAAATCTTTCACTTAGCAAATTTTGGGCTCAGTTGTGGTCGTTAAGTTGAGGACTACCTGTATTGCAGGCTAACTCTGCCCACTGCCAACAGTTCGATCCTGACCAGCTCAAGGTTGACTCAGCCTTCCATCCTTCCGAGGTCGGTAAAATGAGGACCCAGATTGTTGGGGGGCAAGAGGCCGACTCTGTAAATCACCTAGAGCACTGGTTTTCAACCTTTTTAATGCCGCGACCCCCAACCGGTCGTAAGTCGAGGACTACTCAACTGGTCGTAAGTCGAGGACTACTCAACCGGTCGTAAGTCGAGGACTACTCAACTGGTCCAGCACCATTTGCAGAATGGGACTTTTGGCGGGCTCAGCAGGGCAGAGACAGCCTGGATAATTCCTATTGGCTTTTGAAAGCCAATAGAATTAGACTTTATTCAAGAGAGTCTATTTTATTGGCTTTCAAAAGCCAATAGAATAAAAGGGAGTAGCTTAGCTAAGGAAAAGGGGGAAAAAATGGCGGACTGCGTTGTTTGGCGACCCCCGTGAAATGGTCATTCGACCCCAAATGGGGTCCCGACCCATAGGTTGAGAACCACTGACCTAGAGAATGCTGTAAAGCACTGTGGGGAGGTATATAAGTGCTACTGCTCCTGCTGCATGCCAGTGTTCATCTTTTCCAGGAGACGCTATTGTTCAGAACCCTAACGTTGGCAAAGCAAGGCAGGCGGATCCTTCATCCGAGACCCACTTGGGGACCTGCAATGCCAAAACGAGGAAAGAAGAAAGAAGTTGAAATCCTTCCAGTAGAGGAGGAGGTAGCAGGTATGGTCAAAAAATCCAATATAAACCAGAGATGCTACTACTAGGAATATTAGAAAAAAAATATAAACAAAGGTTATATATATTTAATCACACATGTGATAACGGCGGCAAGAATTTTGTTTGCCCCAAATTGGAAAGCAACTGGAGTGCCTTGTGGAGATGCGCTAATAAGAAAAATTTTGTATTGCGCAGAATTGGATAAGACGACAAAAGAGTTAAAAAAAACCAGGAGGAAACAGAATACTACTTAATTTGGAATAAATTTTACAAACGGAGGGAAAAAAGAAGGAAGTGAATAGAAGGGATAGAAGTAGAGGAAGAATATTAGAAATATATAGCTGCATATAAATATATAATATTTACTCTTGTATGTACAGTATGGAATGACAAAGATATATGTCAAGGATGATACACTACGGTCAATGTTTTAATTTTGTATTTAATAAAATGTATAAATTTAAAAAAAAAATTGGGATTGATTTGCGAAAGGGAGCTGCCCCTTATTTTATGCTGCCCTGCATTGTAGCATGTTGTCTTTTTGACCTGAGGTCCTTCTTGGATTCTCTTTGACTTTCCAAGTCCTCCTGTTTGTTAAATGACGCCATGTATCCTTCGGCACTCTTCCTCTGACCCACATTGAGGTTTGTCACACTTGGCTGCAACGAAATTAGAGCTTTTGATCTCTCTGGGCGATGAACCACCAGCTGGCTTCTTCTGTCTTTCTGTTCGGAGCAGAGAAAGGGAGAGAAATAAATGTAAGGAATCTCTGATGAATCAAGGAAGTTGTGACATTTCATAGGGATGGGGTTTATATCAGTTAAACTTGTTCAGGGCTCAAATCCAGCAGATCACTGTAGAGCAGTTTGTCCCATCTGGGCCACTTTAAGATGTGTGGACTTCAAGTCCCAGAATTCTCCAGCCAGCATGCAGGCAGAGGAATTCTGGGAGTTGAAGTCCACATCTTAAAGCAACTGAGGGCCACAAAGAAAAGGGAGTCAAGCTATTCTCCAAAGCGCCGGAAGGCAGGACAAGAAGCAACGGATGGAAACTAATCAAGGAGAGAAGCAACCTAGAACTAAGAAGGAATTTCCTGACAGTTAGAACAATTAACCAGTGGAACAACCTGCCTCCAGAAATTGTGAATACTCCAACACTGAAAGTTTTTAAGAAGAGACTGGACAGCCATTTGTCCGAAGGCATAGGGTTTCCTGCCTGAGCAGGGGGTTGGACTAGATGACCTCCAAGGTCCCTTCCAACATTATTATTATTATTATCATTATTTAGGAATGAGAATGAATAGTCCCCGACTTACAACAGTTTCTTTAGTAACTGTTCAAAGTTACAATGGCACTGAAAAAAGTTACTTACGACTGGTTTTTACACTTTTTGCAGCACCCCCATAGCCATATGATCAAAATTCAGACGCTTGGCAATTGACTCATATTTATGACGGTTGCAGTGTCCCGGAGTCATGTGATCCCCTTTTGCGACTGTTTAACAAGCAAAGTCGATGGGGAAGCCAGATTCACTTAAAAACCGTGTTACTAACTTAACTGCAGTGGTTCACTTAACAACTGTGGCAAGAAAAGTTGTAAAACGGAGCAGAACTGTCTCGCTTAGTAGTATAAATTTTGGGCTCCGTTGTGGTCATAAATTGAGGACTACCTGTAAAATCGCCTCTTTTTTTAGATGTGACCACTGCTCCTTTCTCAATCTTGGTTAGAACATGACTCTCGTCCTACAAATGAAGTAGCCAATTCGTGCAAGTCTGTAGAAGAGGAGCTCAATTTTAAAATCGGCCTTACCAGATTACAGGTAGTCCTGGAGTTACGAGCACAAAATTTGGGCCCAAATTATAGGTTGCTAAGGGAGGCATTTTGTTTTTTTCCCATTTCACGACCTTTCTTGCCAGTCGTTATAAATGAATCACTGCAGTTGTTAATTTAGTCACACAGTTGTTAAGTGAATCTGGTCTCCCCCATGGACTTCACTTGTCAGAAGGGGGCATGACCCAGGGACTCTGCAGCCATCAAAAAAATAGGAGCCAGTGCCCAAGCCTCTGAATTTTGGTCATGTGACCGTCGGGATGCTGAAACCATCGTTAATTGTGAAAAACATTTTCACTTTTTTCAGTGCTGCTGCAACTTTGAACGATTGCTAAACGAACTGTGGAAAGTTAGGGACTATCTGTTTTCAGTGGAGTCCGATTTTCACCAAACAAGCAAACACGTGTTTCCCCCCTCCCCCCTTCATGTTGTGTCTTGTTTCTCTTTCCCTCAGAACCAGAGCCTAAAAGGGCCAGAAAAGGTGGAGCAAAAGCAGAGAAAGAGGCCGACGGTCCAATCTTGTACCAAGATCCTCCTGATAAGCTCATTTCATCCAGTGGCAAAAAATATACTTTGAAGGTCACTTCCTGGAACGTAGATGGCATCCGAGCCTGGGTCAAGAAGAAGGGCCTGGAGGTAACCCAGAAGACAACTCCACCCTTTTCTTTTCCTACAGTGACCAGTAACTGGTTCCTTCTACTTTGGGTGTGCCTGCAGTGGTTTTTCTCTATCCTCACCCAAAGGTTGGACAGAGAAGGTCATAAAAAGAGAGGCTGCATCTAGGCATCACGTACTGTATCAGATAAGACAGCTGTTGTCATTTTCTTTCTGTGTGCACAATGGCACACGTTAAAATGACATTCCGATGCCCGCTCTCGAAGGAAAAGAAGAAGAAAAAAAAACCACCCACCAAACAATGTCCCCATCTGAACGACACCATCCCTAGCAGAATAAATTAGGAGGGGGAATTGTAAACGTTGTCTAGCTGAGATCAACTCCATGTAATTGTATAGCTAGTACTCATTTAATAACGCCAACTGGGACTGAAAACACTGTTCAGCACCATGATCGTAAGTCGAAAAAAACCCACATGCCCACACTGTTTAGCAATAACCATTCTGACTGCCATTGTTAAGTGAGGATCTCACATGACTGTGGTTTTCGACTTCCTGCCAGCTTCCCCATTGATTTTGCTTGCAGGAATGTCACAAGTTGTGATCATCGTGGGACATCACAATGGCTGGAACTTCAAGGACTGGTTGCTAGTATCACTCAGTTCAAATTACCACTGAACAAATAGTCATTAAACGAGGACCACCTGTATTGGCAACAATACTGTACGGAAGCTGTATGGCAGGGTTTTGCCTAAGGCAGGGGTGTCAAACTGCCGGCCCGCGGGCCGGACGCGTCATCCAGAAGCCACGCCCACCCCATTGCCGGCAATGGCAAAACTGTCCCGATACGTTGCGCGACATCACATGACGTTGCAAGTTTGACATGTCTGGCCTAAGGCCATCTAATTCTATTATATAAAATAAACAATAAACAGGTAGTCCTTGACTTAACAGTTCGTTTAGTACCCATTCAAAGTTACAACGGCACTGAAAAAAGTGATGGCTATTTTTTCACACTTATGACCATTGTGGCACCACATGGTCATGCAATCCCAGGATCCTGGGAGCTGAATTTCACACATCTGGAGGGGACTCGTGCTGGGGAAGGCTGTTTGTTGCCATTCATTGTGGATCTTGAATGAAAACAATATCTGCATTGTTTCAAGGCCATTAAAAAACAATTAGAAAAAAAACTGTGGCATGGTAAGCAGTGGAGAAGAGAACAGGCAGTCCCCATGGAGCTAGCAGCAGCCAGCTTGGTTGAAGTATCAAGGCAGTGTTGTTTTTATATCCTCTTTCCTTCAAATCAGGAAGAGAATGCATCTCTTTTAGAGTGAGGTCCATAGTTAATGTTTCCTCACTAGAAAACCCAGGAGAATGTGATTTTTACCTATCTAATATCTGTCTCGAGACTAGAAAGTCCTTAGGCTTGGCAAAGGAATTTTAGTCTTCCCAAGTCAACCAAAGGTTGGGAAGAATGTTCGTAAAAGGATTTCAGACTGTCAGAATGGATAAACCTGTGAAAACACAATGGGCTCTCCCATCCCCTTTCTCTTCTGACAGGGCTTCACTTTTGTGGCTTTGGTTTAATTGTAAGTTGTCATGAGGGCACTGGCAAAAAAAAAGGGTCATAACAATTGCCGTGTTACTCACTTCTTTGTAAAGGAGGCCAGTTTAAAAATTACTACTCGGTATCACTCTGCCAATGGGATAGTAAGAAGTGTAAAGTGAGGATTTCGGTGACTGTATTAGCTCACTCCATTATGTTCCGTCCAGTTAGTAACATTGGTCAGCAGGTCAAACCTTAACCCTTTGTGAGATTCTGTTGACCCCTTTTAATCTGCAAATCCCATTTTGACTAAGAGGTAACCACTGCCAACAGATGTCAACATTTTATTTTTATTTTATTCCCTGCAGTGGGTAAACAAAGAGGACCCGGATGTGCTCTGCTTACAAGAAACTAAGTGTGCAGAAAAACAGCTGCCTGCTGACATTCGGGATCTGGCCGAATACCCCCATAAATTTTGGGCCTGTTCTAATGACAAGGAAGGTTACAGCGGTGTGGCCCTGCTCTCCAAGAACAAGCCTCTGGATGTCACCTATGGGATTGGTAAGGACTTCTGCATCCTTATTTGGGGATCTTAACTTCCTCTTAGACTCCTGAATTATCCTCTACAAAAACAAAAGCAGTGAATCCTTGTCGCCTTGGGAAATATACTCCTCTGTTCTTGGAGGGGGGGGGGAATAGAGGCAAGCTGGGATAGAAGTGAGCATTCTTTAAGTCCTGTCTGGGTGAAAAAGGAAGCTCTCCAGATTGCTGTCCAATAAAAAGGGTTTTGCAGGTGGCTGGGCCTATTGTAGATACCATTTTGCAAGAACGCCTGTGCCATGTTCTACACGTTCTCTCAAAAGGTTGAATTGCCATCAGACTTTCCAGAAAAGGAAACAGGAAACAGGTTAGATGAGCTAATTCTACTTTTAATTCTAAGGCTACATTAACAGAATCTTGCATGCCTGAAAATGTAAATCTCCCAATGTCTCTTTTTACAGCGCGGTAAATTAGGCAGAATCCTCTAAGTTTCCTTCTCTGCCCCTTATCTGGCTGCGGTTCGCCCCTCCCTCTTTACGCGATTGTTCCCTAGGTAGCATCTTTGGCCCCACCCCTGCAATTCCCATATACCATCACAATAGCATTTAGTGGTTCTCAACCTTTTTAATGCCGTGACCCCCAACTGATCGTAAGTTGAGGACTTTCCCTGCCCGGGAGTGCCGCGCATGCATGGTGCCGCCCCCTGCGCCAGCCGGGGCGTTGCTGGCAAGCGGCACAGAAGGAGCTGGCCGACCACCGGCTGGGCCACCAGCTGGCCCAGCCCAAGGGAGGTAAGGCACCCGTCAGGTCCCACGTGTGCCAGCAACCCTCCCTGCGCCCGCTGGCCTCCCACCTCCCACCCCTGGCTCTTTTACTTACATTTTTAGTAGTTGCTCAGCAGGGAGGGGTGGAAACTTCCAGACAGCTCGCCTTTGCTGCAGACAACTTGGAGCACCGTTTGCAGAATGGGACTTTTGGCAGGCTCAGCAGGGCAGAGACAGCCTGGACAATTCCTATTGGCTTTTGAAATAGGAATTCTATTTCTGTTCAAGAGAGTCTATTCTATTGGCTTTCAAAAGCCAATAGAATAAAAGGGAGTAGCACAGCTAAGGAAATGGGGGAAAAAATGACAGACTGCATTGTTTGGCGACCCCCGTGAAATGGTCATTCGACCCCACATGGGGTCGCGACCCACAGGTTGAGAACCACTGATTTAGACTTATATACCGCTTCACAGTGCTTTATAGCCCTCAGTGGTTTGCAGAGTCAGCATATTGCCACCAACAATCTGGGTCGTCATTTTTACTGACTCCAGAAGGATGGAAGGCTGAATCAACCTTGAGCAGGGGAGAATCAAACTGCCGAACTGCTGGCAGCTGGCAGGCAGCAGAAGTAGCCTGCAGTACTGCATTTTAACCACTGCGCCACCAGGGCTCCTGACAAACCCTGGTCTCCTCTCTTAACATGCAAATTCACCTCGCCAGCTAACAGGAGACCTTTCCTCTTGGGACTTACTTATAATATGCCCTAATGCCAACCCAAGATATTGTTGCAATAGTAATGTCCACTCTTCAATATTGATGAGCCCAGCTGTTCCTGGATGCTTGCAGGATGCAAGAACTTGGTCTGTTCTTCCTCCAGCAACTACTTGACTCTTCTGCAGGCGGTTTTCCTTGCTGTAATGCAGTTAAACTCATAACTGAACTCCCATCTAATAGCCATATTAAAAGCCAGTTTGGCCTAATGGTTAAGACACCAAGCTAGAAAGCAGGGAATCGTGAGTTCAAGTTCCACCTTAGCCATGAAAGCCAGCTGGGTGACTTTAGGCCAGTCCCTCTCTTTCAGCCCAACTCACCTTCCAGAGTTGCTTTCTGAAGAAAATAGGAAGAGGGAGGTGCGTGGAATACAGGTAGTCCCCAACCTACGACCACAATTGATCCCCCCAAATTTCTCTTGTTAAGTGAGATATTTGTTAAGCCAGTTTTTGCCCCACTTTACGGCCTTTCTTGCCTCGGTTGTTAATCATATCATTGCAGTTGGCAAGTTAGCATAATCCGGATGTTAAGTGAATCTGGCTCTTTCCCATTGACTTTGCTCTCAGAAGGTCGCAAAAAGTGATAACGTGGCTCCTTGGACACTGCAACCGTCCTAAATATGAACCAGTTGCCAAGCATCTGAATTTTGAACATGTGACCGTGAAAGATGCTGCAACGGATGTCTGAAAAACGGTCATAAGTCACTTTTTCCAATGCCGTTGTAACTTTGAACGGTCACTAAATGAACTGTTGTAAGTCAAGAACTACCTGTATGTTCGCCACCCTGAGTTTTTCGTAAACATAATAAAGGCGGGATATAAATGAATAATGGAAATCCTGATAGATAGATAGATAGATAGATAGATAGATAGATAGATAGATAGATAGATAGATAGATAGATAGATAGATAGATAGATAGATAGATAGTGTAAGGACCCACCCCACTTTGCATCTTAAGAAGACAGAACTCTTGGAATAATTCTTCCAACAGGAATCCTTTATTAAGAAGTGGTTGCAGGTGTGCTAGACAGAACTTGGGGTCCAAGCTCTCCCATTCAAGGTTTTAAGGGGTTCCCCAGCAGTCCCACCCAATCACCCCCCCCTTCCAGTGATAGTTTCAGGCATCACAATTCCACCCCTTTGCTCCTTTCTTCCGTCTGGATGGAGACTTCAGATAAACTACATGAAAGGTAAATAGCTCTCTTTGTTATGGTAAGGTTCTTCTCAAAGTCTTTGAGGTTGCAATAAACACATTCAATTCCTTAGAAGTATACTGAAGGAAGTGAGGGCCATAAAGCCCCTTTGTTCTCCCCCTTCTCTCCCTCTTATGGCAGAATCCAAAGAAGGCAGAATTGGGGTTTTCTATATTTGATGATTAAAGATGAAATATAATTGGATTCTGACAGATAGATAGATAGATAGATAGATAGATAGATAGATAGATAGATAGATAGATAGATAGATAGATAGATAGATAGACAGACAAACCTTTATTGTCATTTTTTACTGTGGGCACAATGGCACACATTAAAAATGAAATTTAGTTGCTTGCTCTCAAAGTGTACACATAACAGACACTTAAACATACTACATGCAACATATTCTCAGGTAGAATGACTCTAGACAGGGAACTGAACCTAGCATGTCCTCCTCTGCCTTTGCTTGTTCAAAGTCAACATTGCTCTTAAACCTGTCTTCTACCTGATCGCCACAGGTGAGGAAGAACATGACAAAGAAGGCCGGGTGATCACAGCAGAGTTCTCCTCCTACTTTCTGGTGACCACCTACGTGCCCAACGCTGGTCGGGGACTGGTGCGCCTGGAGTACCGCCAACGTTGGGATGAGGCCTTCCGCTCTTACCTGAAAGGCTTGGCTGCCCGCAAGCCCCTTATCCTGTGCGGGGACCTCAACGTAGCCCACCAAGAGATTGATCTGAAGAACCCCAAGGGGAATAAGAAAAATGCCGGCTTCACTCCAGAAGAGCGGGCTGGTTTCACCCAACTGCTGGAAGCTGGCTTTGTCGACACTTTCCGCCACCTCTACCCCAACACCCAATATGCCTACACTTTCTGGACTTATATGATGAACGCCCGGGCTAAGAACGTGGGCTGGCGGCTTGACTACTTTGTGGTCTCCAAAGAGCTTCAGGAAGGGCTGTGTGACAGCAAGATCCGCTCCACAGCCTTGGGCAGTGACCACTGCCCCATCACCCTCTATGTGGCCATGTAACACATGCAGACGAAGGCCCAAGCCTATCGTGGCTTGAGCGGGAAAAGAAAATCGGAGCTAAAATTTATGTGTGTGTGTCTATGACGACTCAACCCTTTTAGAGCGGTGTTTTTCAACCATGGCAGCTGTCAGACTTGTGGACTTCAACTCCCAGAATTCCCTAGCCAGCCAGGCTGGCTGGGGAATTCTGGGAGTTGAAGTCCACACTTCATAAAGTCACCAAGGTTGATAACAGTCAGGATTTGATTTCCCCCCCCCCCATAAGGTAGGCCCATTCCAGGCTGTTTAATACAGTTCCACAATATAAAAGTCTGTCTTTCAAAAGGCATGTGTGGCCACTTTGGGACTAGCTGGAAATAAGGTCTTGCTTTGACGTTCCTCTGCCTGGACAAGTTCTCCAGAGAAGATAGCTTAAAACAGGGGTGGGGAACTATGGCCCTTTTACGACTTGTGAACTTCAAGTCCCCATGATTCTTGACCCAATTGAAGTCCACAAATCATAAAGGGGCCGTAGTTCCCCACCTCTGGCTTAAAAGGTGGGGCTGGAGCGGGGTGGGTGCAAGCTATTAAAAGCAGCCATTGATTCCTGAGATAGCAAGGGTCATACTGGAGTCTTTTGTTTTCTAGTGTTTGCAAAAAAAACAAAGCTATCCCACTGCTGCTGTTCTCCAGATGTTAGCTTTATCTTCCTCCTTATTTTGACTATTACTCCTCATTAAAAAAAGTAGCCTTCCTTCCTCACCTTTTTCTTTTTTCTCTCGCTGCTTTGAGAAAGGTGTAATTCACCAAGACATATTTTAATTTCCCAGAAAACATTAAACTTCCCTTTTATAAAATACAAATCGATCGAGCTTGTCTCATTTTCTATCCCGAATGCTATCCGTTAACAATTTCAAGTGTGGCCTTTTAAGCAACGGCTTCCTTTTAAGTTTCAACTTTATCCCCACTTGACATCCAAAGTGGTATGGAAGAATTTCCCTCCCAAGTTGGTTTTCCCAATGACTTTGGTAACTTACGTTATTTTGCTCTTTACAACAGTGCAGCCGTCTTTTTATTTCCAATCATGGAAAGTTGGAAGATCATTATTGCCCCTTAAGCTAAGCGTACATTCCTGTGCATCCATTTGCTTGAAGGTAAAGGTCTTCCCTGTCTGGTCGTGTCCGACTCTGGGGATGGGGCTCATCTCTCATTTCTTAGCCAAGGGAGCCAGCATTGTCCGAAGACAGTTTCCGTGGTCATGTAACCAGCATGACTATTAAACTGAGGAGTACAATAATTTCATTGGCCACGTGGCCAGCATGGCTGTACACCAAAGGTGCGTGGGACACTGTTACCTTCCCACCAAAGTGATACCTATTTATCTACTCACATTTGCATGCTTTCAAACTGCTAGGTGAGCAGGAGCCAAGGAACGGGAGCTCACCCCATCACGTGGTATTCAGGTCTCCAACTGGATTGCCAGCTTTCCAGCTGACAAGCTCAGCATCTTCAACCACTGAGTGATTGTGCCTCCTTATCCATTTGCTTAATTTTGGCTAAAGCGCTCATTTGTTCATACGAATAACTGTACATAATAACTTGGGACTGTTGGAAGGCACCACTAAAACACGATTCAAGAGTATTCCCAAACCACTTCGGGCTATGCTTGAATGTTGCCCCCTTCCAAGTTAAGTGATCTACCTTCTGTTCTAACCGAGTCTTTTTCCACCCATTGTCTGAAAACTCCCCAAGGTCACTAAGTATATTCTTAGGGATCACTTTGGCTGGGAAGGCAAAAGAAGTTTTTACAGATTTCAAACTGGGAAGGTCCTTTGTAGCCCAAGCCCACCTGAAACGAATATTTAAACTTCAGCAAGAAGCCAGCAATGCAAGATGTGAAACAAATCAACCCCATCGCAGCCAACGGAAATAACTTGCTTGTCCAGGCCTCATGTCCAATGTTTGTAAATCTTGATGCATCTTGCAGCAAGGATGGGATTGCCCTTTGCAAGATAATCACTCTTGCATGTGCCTCCAAGGTGAAACAAGGACTAGCGCAGTGGTTCTCAACCTTTCTAATGCCGCGATCCCATAATACAGTTCCCCATGTCGTGGTGACTGCCAACCACTTATACATCACCGGGTGCCAGGGGCGTGGCCAAAGAAAAGGGGAAAAAAATGGCGGACAGCCTTGTTTGGCGACCCCCGTGAAATGGTCGTTCGAACCCAAGTGGGGTCCCGACCCACAGGTTGAGAACCACTGGACTAGCGGAAGACTGGTGGATCAAGAAGAAGGTATCAGCTACAAGCGATTCATGTCAATGAGCCTTGCTGAGACCAGCACAGAACATTGGATTAAGTCACAAAAAAGAAACCCGTTTTAACCATTTTCTAATCAAATTACGTAAAAGATTTGCACGGCGGCCCATTTTAAGCAGCTCTTAAGGAATGTCCTTCCACTGAAGTCCATTCAATCAAACCAACTCTTTAATTGAAAGAATTTCCTTCCTTAATTGAAGGACATTCCGTCGACATCAACTCTTAATTGAAGAAACTTCCTTCCTTAATTGAAGGAAATAATCTCCCCGCTCCCCTTAAGGTGGCTGATTCTGAAAAACCACAAGACAACAGCTTCCCGTCCAATGAGTCAGACATGGAATAGCTTACTTTTTATTTATTTACAACTATCCAATTCATTCCTCCTGTGCCTGTGGAAGAGAAGGAAAAGGACAACCGGCGTGTTCAATCATGGCTGGGGAAAAAAAAAGAGACAGACGGTGCAAGCACGCAGGCAGGCAGGCAGCCAACATGGAGGAAAGTTTATCTTAAATAGTTCTATGTACATTTTACTCCTTATATACAAGCTGCAACACACTTGGGGCTATAAGCTTAATGACGTGGAGGTGGGAGAATTAAAATCTGAGGCCACGAGAGAAGACGGGGTAGAGGAGTCCCGCTGAAAAAAGTCAAGCCAGGTTCGTAGCAGGATTTGAGGCGTTTCCCTAAGCAGAATATCTTGTTTGCCGCATGACTGAGGGCCTCCTTCCTCTGTACAACAGAGTACATGCACCATTTCCTCCCCCTTTGGACTATGTCAGGGGTTCTCAACCTTGGCAACTTTAAGACTTGTGGACTTCAACTCCCAGAATTCCTCAGCCAGCTTTGCCACAAGTCTTAAAGTTGCCAAGGTTGAGAACCCCTGGTCTATGTCATCAACTAGTAAGACAAAAGAAGGGATGAAGGTCTAATTTAGTAGGCTCTGGAAGAAGACAGGTCTTGCAAGGGAGAGTCTGTGCCTCTTGAGACAGAAATCACTGTTGAAATTAAGCCCCCCCCTCCCTCCAACGCAGGTGGGGTTGATCAGCTGTTCTCCCTTCAACACTTCAAACAAAAACAATATAAACACCATAGCAATGGTTGAAAGGGCTCCTTAAGAGAGACGTGATGGTCTCTAAGGCTGCTCTCCTCTCACCCCCCGCCCCCTGAAAACAAGAGTTTGGATTTTTGGAGAAGAAACAAGGAAATAGCTCCCTTCAAGGAATGTGCAAAGATAAAGAAAACAAAAAGGAGAAATGAGTCCCACAGTGAATGAACCTAAACTTTAGCGGAAGACCACTGGATCTCACCCCTGTAGATCACGGAAAGGGGGAGGTAGGGGCTGAAATTCACTCAATGAACATCTGACAGCCCCCAATCCCGGGCCTTTTTAGTACTAACCTTTATGGGACGGGCCTTCTCTCATTCCTCAGGGCCCATTCTCTCATTCCATTCACATGTAAGGATTGTGGAAACGGCCTCAACCCCGGCAGCTTGAGCTACCCCACATTACAGAACACGGGATGACAAAAACAGGACAAATCGATACAGCAGCGATGCCTCGGCAGTCTTTTGGCCTTCTCCTCTCAGCCAGGAAAGATTTAAACTGCCTCCGATGGGAGCCAAGAACAGAATCCTGAACACCATCTTCTGAACTGCCCTCGCTGAAGACCTGTAGTGTATCTCAAGGGGTTCCGCTGTTTGGGCTGGGCCATCTCCAAATGTCACCGGAACAGCCGCCGCTGGTTTGATCCCAAACCATCCAGCTGCATTCAAGTTTCTTTTAGGAACGATTAAGTGTTCTGTTACTTGCAGGATCGATAGGAACTTTTGCCTCCGAACCTTACAGAGCTGGGCTTCAGCTCCCTTGGGAGTCAATTGTACTTTACTTTTGCCACCAATCCTGGCTCAGAGCAACAGAGATGGAAGAAGACTCATAGATATCACGGTTGTCCCACAGTTATTCAGATGATGACACTGGGAGCGGGCACAGCTAGAAGGTGGCATGGCAGACTCAACTTCAAATGGAAGCGGAGGGGAGAAGATGGGGCTGGATCCCCGGAGATGAGATGGTACAGCAGCGGTGGGAAACCAAGAGGAGCTTGGAGAGGCTCACGAGAAGTTCTGGATGGGGTGGCTGACCCTCATACAAGCCCAGTACATAGCTCGGCCAAGGAAAATCAAAGCCAGGAAAATCACCACCGCCCAGGCAGCATAGACGCCCCTGTACTGCTGGGCTTGTTTCCAGGTACCAAACTAGAGAATCAAAGAAGAGTCAGAAATCAGCTTCACAATAAAAGAGCTTAACAGGTTGACTCTGAAACTAGCAACCTTTTGAACTGAATCATTTCAAATTTTGACCCCAAGTGCTGAAGGTTGTGGAGACATGGTGAAGTTTCTATCTTAGATGCATAACCCTTTTTGAAAAAAAAATCAGAATGGACCCATACGGAGAGGGATTGTTTTAAAATTCAGCCTCCTGAAGCTGGATTTTGAATAGGGAGAGAAGCTGCTCCTTCCAAACTTTACTACTCCTCTTACTTTCAAAAGACACATCCCTGTAAGGCAGTGGTTCTTAACCTGTGGGTCGGGATCCCATTTGGGGTCGAACGACCATTTCACGGGGGTCGCCAAACAATGCAGTCCACCATTTTTTTCCCCCTTTTCCTTAGCTGTGCTACTCCCTTTTATTCTGTTGGCTTTTGAAAGCCAATAGAATAGACTCTCTTGAATAGAGTCTAATTCTATTGGCTTTCAAAAGCCAATAGGAATTGTCTAGGCTGTCTCTGCCCTTCTGAGCCCACCAAAAGTCCCATTCTGCACACGGTGCTGCACCAGTTGAGTACTCCTCGACTTACGACCGGTTGGGGGTCGCGGCATTAAAAAGGTTGAGAACCACTGCTGTAAGGCTTCTTAGCAGCAAAATTGATGGGAGTTTCTCTTACATTCGTTCGGCCACTTTTTTAATCTTCTCATTCTAACCCAAAACTCTGGGATTTCCAGGTATCAACCAGACATGACCATCTTTAAAGGTCTCATCCTAATCTCGCTCTTTTGGGAGCCCCCCACGCACCGCCCCCAGCTAGATGCCCCTCACTCAGACTCACCGCCAACCCCGTTGCTGTCACGGCCATCAGCACACCCAGCAGAAGACAACAGAAACACCTTTTCCTCGGATAGCGGCGCCCAATGGAGGAGCTGGGGGTACAAACAAGGGCAAAGAAGCAGTACATCAAGCACCCTGAGAATCACTCTCACAAAGTTCCTGTCTCCCCAGAACTCAAGAGCTCTGGCAGAGGAAGAGGCCTTGCCTACCAAGGACAGGCAGCAGACCTCTGCTCCAGCAAGGGTAGGACTCGGCTTCCTTAATCTCTTTGAAACTGAGCCCCCATGTTCCCTTCCCCACTCCAGTTACTAATATCAGGTAGGTTCAATGCATCCCAGGTCCAATTCCTTCCCCAGAGTAACTCACACTTTGCGGCAGTGTGGGCACCGGGCTAAAGTGCGATCGGTGAATTCTGTCCACTGGAGAGACAAAAAAGAAAGAGAGAAGGGCTTAGGAAGGGTGGGAAGGACAACCTGACCCAAGTCACACTTTGCTGCCACAAATAGGCTCATTTTTTTTTTAACTGAGCAGAAATTCTTTATTTATTGACCAATAGCACACTGCAACTTCACTCTTACTGCTGACAGAGTGGCAACAGTGCAAAATATGTCAGAGGAATATTGCACATGGAGCTGCTGCTGCTTTCTTTGCACTCCTGCCTCGGCTTCCTCAGTTATATACTCTTTGCAAACCCAATATGCCCAGAGTACAAGTCAACCGAGGGCAATTTCAAGGCTGCAGACCAAATAGGCTCTTTTTTTTTTTAAAGGAGTCGCGCTCAGCTGTTCCTCCAAGATAGTCCTCGACTTACAACAGTTCACTTAGTGACCGTTCAAAGTTACAACGGCACTGAAAAAAAGTAATTTATGACCGTTTTTCCCACTTACGACCATTGCAGCCTCCCCGTGGTCATGTGATTTGCATCCGGAGGCTTGACAACTGGTTCGTATTTATGACGGTCGCAGTGTCCCAGCGTCCTGCGATGACCTTTTGCAAACATCTGACAAGCAAAGTCAATGGGGAAGCCAGATTCACTTTACAACAGTGTTACTAATTTAACAACTGCAGTGAGTCACTTAACAAATGGGGCAAAACTCACTTCATAAGTTTCTCACTTAGCAACATAAATTGTGGGGTCAATGGTGGTCATTAAGTCGAGGACTTCCTGTAGCAGATTCATTACTGAAATCCACAGGTGGAGATATTTGCAGGCGAGAACCCAATCTGTGTCCATTTCAAAGGACGCAAACAACCTCAGCCAATTAAAAAAAATTTTTTTTTTATCCACTTTGAACTGCAAGGCCGGTTCCCAACAAGACTGCCTTGCTTGGGGCTCAAATCCGAATTTGTAAGTTTATATTTTTCTTCCAATAACGCCAAACGCCACCCAAAGCTGAGCCTGGAACAAATAAGCTTCATTTTTCTTTTTCCAATTCCTTCTTCCACAGCACCCTTACCAGGAAATTATTTTCGCAATGGCCGCAATTGACACGCACGCCCACGGGCTGAGGCTCCGGACTTGGAGGGCCAGGGTGAACGGGGCCTAAGTTTATGACCCTTTTACTGGGTAGAAAACAAAGGAAGAAAAGAGGTTGAGGTTATTATCTTGTCAATCAACTGTCTCCCCCAAACATCTCCTATTTTCAAGCCAGAGTGAGGAATAAAGTTGATTTTGGATTTAAACATTTCCCCATTTAAAAAAAAAAAAAAAAACCTCAGGTCCATACCTGGCAAGCACAACTAACTTCTCATATTCAATTAAGGCCCTTCAACATGCCAACGTCTGGGTTTTATCAACTAGTCTTTCTGGTTTCATCAGGGCAACCACTGTTTTTATTATATAAACATAAACACCTTCTTCAAGGAAAAAAAAACCAGGTTCAAACAGTGAAGACAGAGGGAGAATCCCCCTTCTCTCTCTGTGCACGGTTTTTTCCTCTAAAAATGTCACATTTTTAGCTTGATTACTCCAATCCATATTTTTGTTTTCTACTTCTTTCTTCAGAAAACAGAAGCCCATCCCCATTATTGGATCACACCACCAATATGCTATTCCTCCCCACAGTGCCAAAAAGATTTCAGGATTCAAAAGAGCTAAATAGCCCCCGCACACACACACTATTTTTCTCCAAACACATCTAAGTTTGGCACTCATGAAGAAATAAGCCCAGGTCTGATCATTCTTCCATATTTGGCGGCATAGATTGTTAAGCCCAACAGTTTTGGAAAACTGCTGTATTTATAATGGTGTGGAACCAAGTCAAAAAATGGGGTTTCTTGCCTCACAACCTGCCTACTTTCTATTGAATATTGTTATACGTCTTAATTTTTACAATATTTACTAAATTATCTTTATACACGCTCACACCTGCTAGGATGCTGTGCATCGGAGGTTGGAAAGTAATATAGGATTCCTCCAGTAGAAGAATGTGCACAATTACTTTGTATTTGGAAAAATAAATCTGGCTTACAATTTTGTATGGCAACTATTTTTTTATTTATTTGTATTTATTCAATTTCTATAGCAGTGATGGCAAAACGTTTAGAGACTGAGTGCCCAAACCGCAACCCAAAACCCACTTATGCATTGTCGAGTGCCGGGTGGGTTTGGCCCATTGGGTGGGCGCGGCCCATTGGGCGGGCATGGCTGTGGTGGTAACGGCAGACTGGGTGGGACTAAAAAGTCCAATCAATCAATTCCAACTTTGCAAGATCTTTTTTTTCCCGCGAGAAGTTGAAATTGACTGATTGGACCCTTTTTTTTTTTTTTTTTGCACACAGCGGCAGAGGCCTAAAGCAAAAAGGTTTTATAAAACCCAGCTGAAGGCCTAGGACTGGGGCGACAGCGTGCGTGCCCACAGAGAGGGCTCTGAGTGCCGCCTCTGGCACCCATGCTATAGGTTCGCCACCACTGTTCTATAGGATGCTCATCTCAATGGTCTCCTGCTTGAGCAGGGATTTGGACTAGAAGACCTCCAAGGTCCCTTCCAACTGTTATTCTGTATTCTAAAGGCACCCAATTGCAGTCCTTGGAGCAGTGTTTTTCAAACTTGGCAACTTGAGGATGTGTGGGAGTTGAAGTCCACACATCAAGTTGCCAAGGTTGAAAAACACTGCCCTGCAGGGCAGCCATTTGTCTCGAATACTACAGGGTCTCCTGCCTGAGCAGGGGGTTAGACTAGAGCAGGGCTTTTCAACCAGTGGTACGGGTACCACCTGTGGTACACTGGCACCTGGCAGGTGGTATGTGACCATCCTAGAAAAGTGGTAGCGGGGGAGGGGAATGAGCTGAACTGGTGGCAGCACTGCACAAGCCTGAGCGAGAGATGGCTGGAGCTCAGGGCTGTCAGGGCTCAGCGGAAGTGCCAGGATCAGCGCCAGGCTCCAGCTGGAGCTCGGCGCTGATCCTGGTGCTTCTGCTGAGCCCAGAAGAAGCGCCAATCAGCTGGAATGTTGCAGCCTCTCCAGGGTCTTGTGATTTACATTCAGATGCTTGGCAACTGATTCATATTTATGACAGTCACAGTGTCCCAGTGTCCCCCAGCAGACAGGGGGAAATAAAAACCAAACCCCCCCACCCCCAACCCCGCTGCCAATCCTCAACAGAAATGCTCACAACAATGAAAACCTCGGACAGGAGGAAGAGCACAGCCGGGTGGGCAGGCAGGTGTGGCTTGGGGGGCACTTTTTTCAGTGCTATTGTAACTTCGAACAGTCACTAAGCAAACTGTTGTAAGTCGAAGACTACCTGTACTTTATCACTTTTTTCCTTTTTTTGGGGTCATCAAGTTTTTGACACCTTGCTAGGCAACTGGTGGTACTCGGATATTGCCATACCCTAAAAGTGGTACAATGGGTGAAAAGGTTGAAAAGCCCTGGTCTAGAAGACCTCCAAGGGCCGTTCCAGTTCTGTTATTCTATGACTCTTGGCAGCTTATAATTTTTGGACTATAATTCTACCCATGGTCTTATTCTACATCTGAAATTAGGGCTTTATAACTTTTAACATTTAAGTCATGATTTGTTAAATAAGGATAGATTTCTTAGTGATTAGGTAAGAGTAAATTTTTCATTTTAGCTTATATTTTATGTGATGACTGTTGTTGATATTAATACATTTACTTGATTTTAATAACGATCTGTAGCTTTAAAATGGCATAAGGTATTTAAATGTGTAGAAGTCACTTCATTATTCTGAGAACTTATACATAACTTATCTAGCTTTATGTATTTTTATCTGAGCCACCAAGAGTAATTTGTGATTATGACAGCATACAAATATGTTGCATTAACAAATACAAATAAATATCTCATTTCTTTTTGTGATTTTATTTTTCCTTGTGGTGCTTCTGTTTTCCCCATAAAATGTTACATAGAGTGAGAATATTTAGGAAGCTATTTTTGATCTAATATTAAAACATCCTGAAGAACATAACTACATAATTCCCTTCCCCACTCCTTACCAATATATCCGCGGACAGGCAATGCGTTGTGAGGTCACTTTGCAGATCAAAAGACAATTGCAAGGGCATCTCACATACTTCTTACCAGGTGGGGCATTTTTAATTGGCTATAGGACAAAACAACATATTTAAAAGTTAAACAGGTTGAACGTGTTTCCTGGTTTAAGAAAGAAGGTCATAACAACCTAGAACTAAGGAGAAACTTCCTGACAGTGAGAACAATTAACCAGTGGAACAACCTGCTTCCAGAAGCAGTTAATGCTCCAACACTGGAAGTTTTTAAGAAGAGACTGGACAGCCATTTGTCTGAAATGGTATAGGGTTTCCTGCCTGAGCAGAGGGTTGGACTAGATGACATCCAAGGTCCCTTCCAACTTTACTATTATTATTATTATTATTATTATTATTATTATTATTAACAGGGCAAAGAATCTAATCCATCTGTGGCAGTGCATTGGACCAAGATTACTGTTAACACTCCCATTCGTCACATTGTATCTGTAAATATTCAAATTAAATTAATATGTTTAAAAAAAACAAGTAGCCAAGAGGCACAGTGGACAACAGGTTTAATTTATTTTTAGCTGAACTGGGAAAATAGTCTAGAAATAGCATAGGACATCCTATCAAACTTCAATCTCAAGTAAGTAAGAATGTATATTTTTCTACATGGGAGGTTCTGTGTTATCCTTAATTTTCCATAGCTTAAAAAGTTAGGTATTAAGTGTTGAACTAGAATCATGCTCAAGAAGCTGAGCTACTGCTAATCTGAGTAAGGAAAGCTGGGCTAGATAAATCTAACCTAGTATGAAGTGTACATTTCAGAAAACAGGGTAACAAAAATGTGGCATTCCAAAGACACCTATTTTACACCAAGATTTTTTTTTTTCCAGTCAAAAGGCTTCCAATACAATACACAAAAGCAAGGAAGAAAGACAAGGAATGTAGAAAGGGTAGGACCATCCTCAAATGTGTTTGATTTTCATTGCAATCTTAACAGGCAGTTAAGATAACTCCGGACGGGACTGGGGCAAAGATAAAGCACAACTGACAACGGCACATTCAACACCTAGTAAACCTAAAGTCGTATCTTGAAGTCCAAAAGAAATTCATTTATTTTTTAAAGCTTCTATCTGTCCATGATGCCTTACTCCAAGCAGCTGAGATAAAAAGGCTTCCAAGCAAGCTTATATGGGAGGTGAAAGGGAAAACATTAAAGTGAAATTCAGGATAATATTCTGTCAAACAACCCGAACTATTGAATCTGATTTCAAATTTTTGAGGGGGGTCCAAGCAACTACTTATAATTTCAGATTTGTGTTATCTGCAGCTGCAGGAACCGAAGCTGTTGCAGACCAGCAACGCTAGTTTTTAAATTTACCTTTTCAGAAGACTCACAAACCAGTGACAGAAAGAAACCCGAACAGAAAATAAGTTCTGGGACAAGCTCCCAGTTTTAGAGGAAGATTTTTCTTCCGCAGGGTATTTTGTGCTTGAAGCATTCTATCTATATATAATTTTGATAGCAACCTTTAAGGCAGGGTAGTTTTAGCAACGCGCCAAGTGGGACCTGCAATGTGAGAGAGGAAGGAAGGTGTCAGCTGCCACCTTAAGCTTGCTGGTGTGCTTTGCTACCACGAGTCTGCCATGAACTCTGGGGAGCGTGGATGGGAGGGAGGCTGCTTGAAGGAGGGTTTTTCAACCAGTGGTATGGGTACCACCTGTGGTACATTGGCACCTGGCAGGTGGTATGCGAGCATCCTAGAAAAGTGGTAGCGGGGGAGGGGAATGAGCTGAACCGGTGGCAGCACCGCACAAGCCTGAGTGAGAGATGGATGGAGCTGCAGGGCTGTCAGGGCTCAGCAGAAGCGCCAGTATCAGCGCTTCTTCGGGACTGTCAGGGCTCAGTGGAAGCACCAGTATCAGCGCCAGGCTCCAGCTGGAGCTCGACGCTGATCCTGGCGCTTCTGCTGAGCCCTGAAGAAGCACCAATCAGCTGGAATGTTGCAGCATCTCCAAGGTCTTGTGATTTACATTTAAATGCTTGGCAACTGATTCATATTTATGACAGTCACAATGTCCTAGGGTCATGTGAACTAACCAAAACCTGTTGCAACCACCCAGCAGAGGGGGGGGGGAATAAAAACCAAAGACACACCCCCACCCCACCCAGCTGCCAATCCTCAACAGAAATGCTCACAACAATGAAAACCTCGGACAGGAGGAAAAGCGTGGCTGGGTGGGCAGGCAGGTGTCTTGCTTGGCTGTGCCTTGGGGGGGGCACTTTTTTCAGTGCCATTGTAACTTCAAACAGTCACTAAGTGAACTGTTGTAAGTCGAGGACTACCTGTACTTTATCACTTTTTTCCTTTTTGGGGGGGGGTGATTAGGTTTTTGACACCTTGCTAGACGACTGGTGGTACTTGGATGTTGCCATATCCTAAAAGTGGCACAATGGGTGAAAAGGTTGAAAAGCCCTGGCTTAGAGGAGGAAAGTGAAAGCTTTAACTGCTGCATCTCCCTGAGACGCTGCTTCAAGGTCACCCGGCTGGGAGAAGAAAGCAGCTGCACACCAACCTATGCTTGAAGTGACAGTTTTGAAAACATCTTGCTTCAGCCTAATTGGAGAGTGGGGACAGCTATGGGCGGGAAAAGTTGAACTTAGGGATTTTGGCACACGATTCTCATCTCTGCCTATGCATTACTGCACTACACTTGACTTCTAATAAAACTACACCTTTCTCAATAAACGGAGCCAAGGGTTGCTTCTATTTAGGGGTTTTAAATGCTGGCAGCTCTGACACTGGTAGAAAATACTGCAGCTTCAACCAGCAGAAGAATCATCTCTGAATACTTCAATGCAATCTGACAGGAACAATTCATCCACTCTTTCGGAAAGGGTACGGAATAGAACAGAAGAAGCTAAAGCAGAAATGCATTCAGATCCTAAATGTTCCTTTAAGGCAGGGGTTCCCAACCCGGGGTTGAGAGGTGAAATTCTTGGGGGTGCGAAAACTTGGGTTTTCAAAATTATAGCGCGTATGCATAATCCGTTGCCGCTATTTTTGTAAGGGGTGCAAGAATATATCAGAAGCGTTCTAGGGGTGCGGGTTATAGAAAAGGTTGGGAGCCACTGCTTTAAGATGTTATAACTCCTGGATGCCTTAACAACTTCATGGATAGTAGGAGTCTAGATCCTTCTTTACCCATAAGAATAGAAAAGCTCCCCAAAGTTCATCCAAGCTGGATTCACTCAACAACTAAGTGATTCACATGTAAAAAAGATGTTGAGACTCTAAAGAGTACAGAGAAGAGCAACAAAGATGATTAGGAGATGGAGGCTAAAACATATAAGGAAAGGTTGATGGAATTGGGTATGTCTAGTTGAATGAAGAGAAGGACGAGGGGGGACATGATAGCAGTGTTCCAGTATCTCAGGGGCTGCCCCAAAGAGGGAGTCAAGCTATTTTCCAAAGCGCCTGAAAGCAGGACAAGGAGCAATGGGTGGAAACTAATCAAGGAGAGAAGCAACCTAGAACTAAGGAGAAACTTCCTGACAGTTAGAACAATTAACCAGTGGAACAACTTGCCTCCAGAAGTGGTGAATGCTCCAACACTAGAAGTTTTTAAGAATAGACTGGACAGCCATTTGTCCTAAATGGTATAGGGTTTCCTGCCTGAGCAGGGGGTTGGACTAGATGACCTCCAAGGTCCCTACAAACTTTATTATTAACCATGGTAATTCGCTTAATGATCACAGTGACAAAAGTTGTATAATTGGGTATGACTTGCATAACCACCGCCTCACTTAATGACAGATTCCAGTTCTGATTGCAGCCGTAAGTCAAGGACTACCTGTAATGATACTATCAGCCTCCTATTGTTGGCTCTACCCAGCACTTCTTCCTCACATAAACCTTTCCTCATGGGTAAATTCTTCCTTCACGATGGGTGTATTTATTTGTAACTATTTAAATAAGCATATTCCATCCAGGGGCATGCATTAATTGTGCAGGGTGCAAAAATGCATTACATCCATTTCAAATTTCCTTTCTGCCAATTTCACCGGAAAGCTTCAACTTTTAATAATGCCAGGGAGCAGAATTAAGGCAAAGACAAAGGCAAAAAAAAAAAAAAGAGCTCAAGTTATTTTTCTCTCTCAGCTAAATAAACAAGAACCTATACATTTATTCACTGAGATAATATACAGGTCAAATTTCAGGGTTTTAAAAAAAAACCTCTTCCAAACGAGCTTCTAATGTAAAGAAAGGCATCATATAAAAACTTTCATATGGGTGTAGTTCAAATGAGTTCAGATGAGCAATACCTTCACCACAACCATATCAACCCAATAAACAGTACATTACAATACATAATCCCAGCTAAAGGTGAACACCAATATAATCCTTTTAGGAGGAAGCAAAACCAAAAAAAAAAAAAAGGAATCCTTTTAAGGAACGGCCCTGTGCAGAGTTAGACCACCAGATCTAGCTAGCTCAGTATTGACTATGCTGACTTGAGACCCAATAGCTCTCAAGGAATTAAAGCAGTGGTTCTCAACCTTTTTAATGCCACGACCCCCAACTGGTCGTAAATCGAGGACTACTCAACCGGTCGTAAGTCGAGGACTACTCAACTGGTGCAGCACTGTTTGCAGAATGGGACTTTTGGAGGGCTCAGCAGGGCAGAGACAGCCTGGACAATTCCTATTGGCTTTTGAAAGCCAATAGAATTAGACTCTATTCAAGAGAGTCTATTCTATTGGCTTTCAAAAGCCAATAGAATAAGAGGGAGTAGCACAGCTAAGGAAAAGGGGGAAAAATGGTGGACTGAGTTGTTTGGCGACCCCCGTGAAATGGTCGTTCGACCCCAAATGGGGTCCCGACCCACAGGTTGAGAACCACTGGATTAAAGGCTGGGACTGAAAGGAAACACAAGTACTCCGTCCATGATAGCAGATCTGCAGTTTTGGCTTACTCTTTTCCTATCCGGGGTGTTGTTTTTTTTTAAGGAAATCATCCTCATATTTTTAAAAAAAAAGCCTACATATTTGTAACATCTGGCGAGAACTATGGGAATAGAAGCCTCCCTTTCTCCTTGACTAGTTTTATTGTATGATCATAGCCTCTGGCGAACCGCCAGAGTTTTGCTGTTGTGGAATTGTGCTGAAGATAACCAAGCAGAGGAAGTGACCCTGAGAAACACTGCTTGTCTCCAACTTTCTATCTGCTTCATGGGTCAGCTCATTTTCCTTTATAGGCAATTGTGCTTTATTTGGCGAAGGGTGGTTAGACACACAAGGAATGTGTCTCTGGTACAGAAGCCCTCGACGTACTTGCAAAACAGTGGAATATAACAACATTAAAGTGTACAACCAAGAAAAGGGGAAAGTAAGAAAAAATAAAGGGGATAAACAATACTGCAGCCACACCCTCGGGATTGATGTACATACATATTAGGCAAAAAAACAAAAAAAAAAAACTCAGTCACTGTATTTTGTCAGCTGTGAGAATTAGGTGTTCAGCAGAGTGATGGCCCAAGGGAAGAAAATGTCCCTATGTCGAGTTGTCTTGGCATACAACGCCCTATAGCAGGGGTCGGCAACCTTAAACTCTCGAAGAGTCACTTGGACCCGTTTCCCACAGAAAACATTGGGAGCCGCAAAACCCATGCACGTACATGAGTGTGCCAGACGAGGCAGCTTGATTGAAGAGTTTAATTAAAAAGAAATAGAGGCTGCTGGGCATGAGTTCTCTCTCTCTCTCCCTCTCTCTCTTTCCTCTCCCCCCCTCTCTCTACCTCTCTCCGATCTTCTGCTCATCTGGCAAGCTGGCTTCATGCTGTTCTCTGACAAGCTGGCACACATTCTTACTGGGCTGGCTCTCTCCTGCCCTTGGTCTGCCAGTCCTCTTCCCCCACTCAGAGTGTGTGTGTGTGTGTGTGTGTGTGTGTGTGTGTGTGTATGTGTGTGTGTGTGTGAGAGTGAGAGAGAGAGAGAGAGAGAGAGAGATATGCTGCTGCTTTCTGCAGAAACGCAGCAAAGGCAGGGGCCCCGCCCAATAAGCTTGTCAGCTTGTCGGAGAATAGCGTGAGGCCACTCTCTTTTTTACACACACACACACACACACACACACACACACACACACAGAGAGAGAGAGAGAGAGAGAGAGAGAGAGAGAGAGGAGAAGGGAAGCGCAGGTGCCTCTCTCTGTCTCTGTCTCTGCAAATGGTGGTGGAGGACTGGGAGTTGCAGGAGAAGGTTCAAAGAGTCACATGCGGCTTCGGAGCCACGGGTTGCTGACCCGTGCCCTATAGTGCCATCTCAAGGGAAGGCATTGAAACAATTTATGTCCAGGATGGGAGGGGTCTGCAGATATCTTCTCAGCCGTCCTTCTGACCTGCACAATACGCAGGTCTTCTATGGCAAGACAGATATTCCATGTCTTACATTCCAACCAGCTGCTTTTTCTGCCTTTACATCTTTCCCCTCTGCCTCCCACATCCCACTTGTCTGTCTGACAGTGCTCACCGTGGCTTCATTGCAAACACTACATTTCACTACGTGCTGATGCATCTTTCCCTCCACGTTGATGGGGCTCTGGCAGACTCGGCAAGTGATCATAGGGGCACTGCCACTCTCTGGTGATGCCATCGGGGAATACGGCGGGGGATCTTCTGCAGGCAGTATGGCGGCTTGGCTCCCATCATTGAGACTGCTGAAGGAGGAAAATCCTTGGAAAGGAAAAGGAGAAAGAATCATGATCAAAAGGGAGCATTCAACCATTGCTCTGCGGTGCTGCTGTTAAATTTACATGCCACCCACTTGATCTTTCTTCCTGTTCTCTCACCTGCATTTCATTTTCCTCAAATCTCTCTTCCTCCTCCTCCTCCTCCTCCTCCACCACCACCACCCTTTGGCTCCTGCCTCTAAATTTGTTCATCTTCAACCTGCAAAGCCCTGTAGAGAGTAGAGGATGGCCTTGATGGAGAGAGGGGAGATCCGTACTAAAGCAACCAGGAGGGAAAAACTACTTCAGTCCAAACAATGAAGGAGGAAGGAGGAAACATTTGAAGCCACCTCCATAATTCACATTAGTATAAGAGAGTAAGAAGGTGAGCCATAATTAGACTTATCTACAAATATCTACTTTTATCTACGAATATCGATAGACCCCTCACATCCTGGACATAAACTGTTTCAACTTCTCCACTCAGGATGCTGCTATAGGGCATTGCATACCAAAATTAGACACAAAGATAGTTTTTCCCCCATGTCATCACTCTGCTAAACACCTAATTCCCACAGCACTGTCTTATGCCTAAATATATTCACCCCTGTAATAGGGCTCTATTGCTATTATCTTTCCCATCTTTCCTACTACCTTCTCCTATTGGTATCTCATGATTTATCTCTTGTTTGTATTTTGATTTACGATCTATGACTTATCACTTTGCTATTTGTATGTACAGAGAGCTTATGCACTGGAGACAAATTACTTGCGTGTCCAATCACACTTGTCCAATAAAGAACATTCCTATTTTGTTAGGATTTGTTACTACAATCTTTAAAAAAAAAACAGTTTGGGTCTTTGTGTGGAATTGATTTGTTGGTTTGATCTACATCTTGGGACTGATAGCTCTTAGCAATTCTGATTAGCTTTCTTTGGCTGGAACCAGAGTAGTAATATGCATTACTGTATTGTATTACAGTAAACGTATTACTGCCTAGGGGACAGGAACGCCCCCCCCTCCCCAAAGTAGGGATCCTCCTACCAAAACGACTTGAGATGAAGTGCTGTCCATATGATTGGATACCCATTCCAATTCTACCCCCTACCGAGCCACGCCCCCATGCATAAGCCACGCCTCCTGGCTTGACGACCTCTCCTCTCTGGGTCTCCTCTCGTCTACCGCCCCCTCCTCGTCCCCGCCCACTCTCCTTTCTCCGAGGCCTCCCATGAATATAAATGAGGAAAGGCGGCTCACCCTGCGGCGGATTCGGTTTCCCCGGAGCAATCGAGGCGGGCCCTGACGCCAGACTCGCCGGCCCCACCAAGCCTCCCGAGCCGAGGCCGCCCCCATCGCCAGACTCGGCGGGCAGCAGCGGGGAGCGCTCACCATCCGCAGCCATCGCTGCTGCGGCCGCTACTGCACCCGTCACCGCCCCGCGTCTCTTTCGGCTTCCGTAGCGCACGTCCCCGCCCCTCACACCCCGGATAACTCTCGTCACATGATGACCGCCGGCCTCATCCTATCGGCTGCGAGCAAGCGCCTAGGTCCCTGTCACGTGACCAGAAACTGGTGGCGATAGCAGACGTTGCGCTTCTGATTGGTCGGAGCGGATGTGACGGCCTGTCATCCGCTTCCTTCCATTGGACGGCGAATCGCGCTCGTTCTTTTGCCGTTTCCTCGTCTCGTGACTCTCGTCTACGCTTTTTGATTGGCTGCTTCCCTCAGGCGGCTCCCAGGTTGTCCCGAATCATCGTTTCTTTTCTGCTTGGCTATTGACCACTCCCTCTCAAGGTGGCCCCGGGGGTTTAAAGAGACGTGACAAAGAACCGCGGATCCTCATTGGCTTAGCGCGTCCATAGTACGGTTCTAGGAGCCACCGTGAGCCTTACGTGATGGAAAAGCTGCTCTCCCATGGGCGGGGCAAAGTTCCTCATGCCTCCCATTGGGGGGAGCAAAGTTCCTCCTACAACCGCCCCGCCTTTTCTAGAAAATGCCCCGCCCCCTGAGCCATGATTGACGTCCCCGTGAAGATTCCACCCCAGGCTTCCATTAAAGAGAAAGGAAGAGGCAGCGATCCGCTCGTGACTGGCACGTGCTCCGTTTCGTGGGAAGCCACGCGGGGCTTAGTCCCCCCCAAAAAAAACCGAAGCCAGGAAAAAAACCTTCCCCCGTTGTGTCTTTTCTTCTCCAGGATAAGCCTACGAAGCTTCTTTAACCCAGTGCTTTTCAAACGTGGCCACTTTTTAAGATGTGTGGACTTCGGCTCCCAGAATTCCCCAACCAGTGGGGGAAAGGAGGGAAAAATGGCTGGGGAATTCTGGGAATTGAAACCCACACATCTTAAAGTGGCTAAGTTTTAAAAAAATGCTGGGGTTAAAGGGGGATTGGTAGGATTTAGCTGCAATTGGTTAAATTGCAATTAAATAATTAGCTGGGTGGGATTTAACTGCAATTGGTTAAATTGCAATTAATTAGATGGGTAGGATTTAGCTGCAATTGGTTAAATTGCAATTAATTAGATGGGTAGGATTTAACTGCAGTTGGTTACATTGCAATTAGTTGGTTAGGACTGAACTGCAATTGGTTAAATTGCAATTAGATGGGTAGGATTGAACTGTAATTGGTTAAATTGTAATTAATTAATTAGATGGGTAGGATTGAACTGCAAGCCCTTTAGCATCCTTGCTCCTTCGTGTGCCTTCTATCTAGTTCCTTATCTGTCCTTTTGTACTGGGGCAATCAAAACTGCCACAATATAGGTAGTCCTCGACTTACAACCACAACTGAGCCCAATATTTATCATGGGGATGCTGCAAAGGTCATAACTGAAATGTGGTCATAAGTCACATTTTTCAGTGCTGTCCTAACTTTGAACGGTCACTAAATGAATAGAACAGCTGGAAGGGACCTTGGAAGTCCAGGCCCCTGCTAAAACAGGAGAACCTATGAATAAACTGTTGTAAATTGAGGACTACCTGTATTATAGATGTGGGCTGACCAGCACAGCATAGAGCTGGACTATCACTTCTTGTGATGTTGATACTGCATTTCTCTTGATGCAGGCCAAGACTGTGTTAATGCTTTTGGTTGCAGCCTGGCTCATGCTTAATGTGTGGTTTTGCAGATCATCTAGTTTCTTTTCGCCAGTACCTTGACTAAGCCAGGTACTTCCAGTTTTGTATTTGTTCTTGAATGCAACACCTTGTATTTCTCACTTCCTGAACAGCCTTTTATTTATTTAAATCGATGAGGGGCCCAACTCCACTGGACTTAGACGGTGTGCAAAACTAGAAGAAAACAGTTTTTATAACTGCTAATTTTTGTTAATTTTGGTTTATGGAATCTCATACAGGACAAATTTTTAAAAAGGCACTGCCTCTATTTTTTCCCCTAAGAAACAAGAATTAAATAATATTTTTCCAAATATGTATACCCAATGTACAGTAGATTGTTTGCCTGGATCTGTTGACCTCATAACAGCCATATATTGACTGTGTACTAATGGATAATGGTACTGTATTCTTATCTCTGGTGGAAAGAGTTTTTCTCAGCTCTTTCTCAAGCCATAGTAATATTGATTGGAAAATAGCATGATCCCTTTGTATTTCAGCCAGTGCTATAGTGCTTAATCTTTGTCCACATACCAGAGGCTTTACTCCATTCTGTGGTATTAAGTAATGGCACGTTTAGCCTTAACATTCATAAATTGACAAGCATGTGACACTAATTTGCAGAGAAGCTGTCACCAGTTCTGACTTGCCTGTTTATTTGGATCATGTGTCCTCAAGAGAGACAAATTTGTAACATTAAAATGTTTGTTAGAACATGCCCGAAGGATTGGAAAGGAAAACCCCATATTTTACTTAAGAGAAGGGCTTTCTGTGATCATGGAAAGAGAGATTAGACCAGTGGTTCTCAACCTTTTTAATGCCGTGACCCCCAACCGGTCGTAAGTCAAGGACTACTCAACCGGTCGTAAGTCGAGGACTACTCAACTGGTGCAGCACCGTTTGCAGAATGGGACTTTTGGCGGGCTCAGCAGGACAGAGACAGCCTGGACAATTCCTATTGGCTTTTGAAAGCCATAGAATTAGACTCTATTCAAGAGAGTCTATTCTATTGGCTTTCAAAAGCCAATAGAATAAAAGGGAGTAGCACAGCTAAGGAAAAGGGGGGGAAATGGTGGACTGCGTTGTTTGGCGACCCCTGTGAAATGGTCATTCGACCCCAAATGGGGTCCCAACCCACAGGTTGAGAACCACTGGATTAGACTAACTATCCATTCTGTGGTAATCTCTTAATGTACTAGGTGACAGTTCTCATCATCCCCAACCAGGCTGAGGAAGTCAAGTATGACTCATTAATTTTAGTCCTAATCTTGGATCAGTTTGAAGTTTATCAAATAATCCCAGAGAATTATCTATCCATATTTCTCATTAGCCCTTTGCAGAATGCGCATGATGCATTAAATGTTACACATTTTTGTTACAAATTGTTATACAGGTAGTCCTTGACTTAGAACAGTTTGCTTAGTGACCATTCAAAGTTACAATGGCACTGAAAAAAGTGACATGAGTTTTTTACACTTAAGACCATTGTAATCAAAATTCAGATGCTTGGCAACTGGCTTGTACGTATGATGGTTGCAGTGTCCCAGGGTCATGTGATCCCCTTGTCAGAAGTAAGTCTTCATCCTGGTTCATCCAAGCCGGGGATAAATAAGCAACATGGCGACTGCTTTGGGAAGAAGGTTACAGTTTATTGAAGAAGCAGAAAGATGGTCCTTGCAAGAAAGAGCAGAGGAGAGGAAAGAGGAGTTGAGCACATGGGCAGTAGGTTTTTATACCCCCTCTAGCCTTGTTTGGAATAGTTTCCTGTTCCTGTGGCATGAACCTTGAAGCTATTTCTGAGTGTTTTTCTAGGCCTTGATATCTGTGGTTTAATCCTATTATCATATCCTGCTTTCCAGGTGATGGGGCTAATGACTCCTAGAGTTTGGATGGGGCATGCAGATTTTATCTTTTTCTTGATTGCTCTGGCTTCAATTTTCTGATGGTTTTACATCTGCATTTATATGGGGTTAGCTCTTGATTGGGACAGAGAGATAGATTTGGGGCCAGGTTTGGTTTCTGCTTTTCAAAAAATACTTTTAAAAATCCTTTTGGTGAAAAATATATATTTCCTGCCCTTTTTAATATGTCCTTTTCTGGGCTAACTTCCCTCAACCCTTTTGCGACCTACTGACAAACAAAATCAATGAGGAATCCAGATTCACTTCACAACTGTGTTACTAACTTGACAGCTGCAGTGATTCATTTAACAGCTATGGCAAGAAAAGTTGTAAAATGGGGCAAAACAAATGTCTTGCTTAGCAACAGAAAGTTTGGCTTAAAATTGTTGTAAGTCAAGGACTACCTATATTGCTCATGCCACCCATTTGCAGTAATGGTGAGCAAAATGCAGTCAGGACCAGTGCTTATCCATCAGTTTCTATGAATTAGATCTCCAAGAGAAGGATTTGAAAAGGATAATCCCCACAAATCATTAATTACATTACTGGGGAAATGCAAGTCATAATGTATATACATAGTTCCTGTAGGTCATAAAGAAGGAATGGTTCTAATCCTTAAATAGGCCCCTTGTTTAGAGAAACAGTTTGAAATGTTCTTTGCCTTGAGATTTATGGAAACTAATTATATAACTATGTTCCAGAGATAAGTGGGAGCTCACGTGGCCCCACAAAGGAGCCTATCTAAAAAATGCCAAGTTGTATTTTTTTATATGATAGAAGAAAACTACATGCATCAGGAATAATCATCAGCTGCACATAATTAATTTAAATTGAATTACATTTTAATGAAAATTGAATCTTATTTTTTAAAAAAATCCCTGACCTTACCTACTTTTTGGAGTACTGTCTGTACAGTGTACTGAAAAGCCATTCTTGATTTATTAATTGACACTATGAGCTTAGAAGCCTAGAAGCCAAATAGTTTAAACCAGTGGTTCTCAACCTTTTTAATGCTGCGACTCCCAACCAGTCGTAAGTCAAGGACTACTCAACCGGTCGTAAGTCGAGGACTACTCAACTGGTGCAGCACCGTTTGCAGAATGGGATTTTTGGCGGGCTCAGCAGGGCAGAGACAGCCTGGACAATTCCTATTGGCTTTTGAAAGCCAATAGAATTAGACTCTATTAGAGTCTATTCTATTGGCTTTCAAAAGCCAATAGAATAAAAGGGAGTAGCACAGCTAAGGAAAAGGGGGAAAAATGGCAGACTGCGTTGTTTGGCGATCCCCGTGAAATGGTCATTTGACCGCAAATGGGGTCCCGACCCACAGGTTGAGAACCACTGGTTTAAACCTTTTTGCTCTCTAGTTAAATTGAATTAAAAAGTTGGGGGTCTCTTTGCTGGGAATTCTGGGAGTAATAATGTGAGATACCTGTATGAGGCAACTATTTTATATAAATAAAATTCAGGTTCTCCTCTTTCTATATTTTTTCTTCACCTCCAGCAAGATTTTGAACATGCTGGTAGATTTTGCTTCTCTTTTTAATAATTGTTTTGTTATATCCATTATATCAGGGGTAAGCAGTTGATTTTCCCAAGGGATAACATGAGAAACTATGGATTATAACTATAAACTGAATGTAATTCTACTCAGTATTAGTTGTATTGCTTTATAAAAAGCAATAAATTACATGGTTTTGTTTAGCTGCTACTGGTAAGACTATATGTTGTGGCTTGATTACATTTGATTTCTAATTTCAGATTGACCTCATGTGGGCCAGACAGGGACAGCAAAGGACCGGATGTCATAAAATGCTTAGGTCTGCATTATGTTGTGGCTGAGCATGGCTGGGGAATTCTGGGAATTGAATCCCACCCATCTTAAAGTAGCTGCAGTTGAAAAACATTGATCGAAATCATCTATCCTTTAAGGTCAGATCTGATCATTCTGTGATATCTTGTTATTTGAATGAATGTTCTGGACTAGTCCATTATTGGCATGCACACTCTTGGGAACTTTCAAGAAAAAGAATAAAACTTTATCTAAATGTTTTAAGCATTTAGCATTAATCATGATTTGGGTGCAACTATCTGTGGTTACTCAAAAGAAATAGAAACTCTGGCTGTGCCCAAAAAGGGAGAAATCTGAAAATTGCCTATGTTTATTCCCATCCCCTCAATGGACACAGGAATTTCATGTTATACAGCAGTGGTTCTCAACCTGTGGGTCGGGACCCCATTTGGGGTCGAACGACCATTTCACAGGGGTCGCCAAACAACGCAGTCCGCCATTTTTTCCCCCTTTCCTTAGCTGTGCTACTTCCTTTTATTCTATTGGCTTTTGAAAGCCAATAGAATAGACTCTCTTGAATAGAGTCTAATTCTATTGGCTTTCAAAAGCCAATAGGAATTGTCCAGGCTGTCTCTGCCCTGCTGAGCCCGCCAAAAGTCCCATTCTGAAAACGGTGCTGCACCAGTTGAGTAGTCCTCGACCTACGACCGGTTGAGTAGTCCTCGACTTACGGCCAGTTGGGGGTCGCGGCATTAAAAAGGTTGAGAACCACTGTTATACAGGAAGCCTACAGATTCCCCTATAAATCTACAGGCATCCAACTTCCGTCTAGAACACACTATCAAATTAACATCTATAATCAAGCTTGAATGCATTTGTTCTGACAAAGATGCTTAATTGCTAGAATTAAATTTTGGATTTGGGTGACTAAAGTACAGGTAGTCCTCAAGCTAAACCATTTGTTTAGCAAACAAAGTTATAACAAAGGGGAATATGTGTAGCTCAGGGTTGAAGTGGGGGTGGTCCTTTGGTGCTCTCTGAGTTGGTTGTTTTCTTGCAGACATTTCATTACCCAAACTAGGTAACATCATCAGTGCTAAGAAGGAGTTGGGTTTGCTCTCAGTTTATATTTTAGTGGCTTGCCCTGTCAGTTTTGGTGGGGGTGGTCTCAGAGGGTCTTTGGTTGGGCTGTTTGTTGTTGGCTGCTTTGACAGGTTTTTTTTTTTGTAAATTTTTTTTTTCAGTTTTACAATACAATACAATCTTAGAAATACTTCAGATAAAAAAATAAAACAAATTAATACACACCATTTTCGGTATTGCTCGCCCATTTCCCCCCAAAACCGCATCCACCCTCTAACCAACTTACCTCTTTCCCTCTTCTTTACTGCTTTGGCAGTTTCTTGATTGGGGTATTGTTTACTTCCTTTGATGTTAATCTTGAATCTCTATGCTTATCTGGGTGCTGATTGCTGATGGAGGGATGCTGAGGTCCCTTTGTTCCGCTTTTGGCTAGTTCAGGGGTAGGCAACCCAAAACACTCAAAGAGCCACTTGGACCCGTTTCCCACCAAAAACAAAACACCGGGAGCCGCAAAATCCTTTTGATATCTAAAATGAAGATAACACTGCATATATCCTTTTTTACCTTTATTATAGGTGTGTGTGTGTTTGTGTGTGTGTATATATATGTGTGTGTGTATATGTATACACACACACACACACACACACACACATATATACACATACAGGTAAAAAAAGGATATATGCAGTGTTATCTTCATTTTAGATGTCAAAAGGGTCTCTCTCTCTCTGTGTCTGTCTCTCTCTCTCCCTCCCTCTCTATCTTCCCTTGGTCTGCCTGCCACTCCTCTCTCCCCACTCTCTTTCTTTCTCTCTCTTTCCTCTCTCTCTCTCCCTCCCTCTCTCTCTCTCTTTCTCTCTCTCTCTCCTATCTGCTGCTCACCTGGCAAGCTTCAAGCTGTTGTCCAGCAAGCTCAGGGTAAGCAACCTCGTCTCTTTTATGACTCATGGACTTCAACTCCCAGAATTCCTGAGTCAGCCTAGCTGGGCTAGCTAGCTCTGTCCTGCCCTTCCTGCTTCCTGCTTCCTTCAGAGACGCAGCAAAGGGAGGAGCTCCGTCCAGAAAGCTTTTCAGCTCCTCGGAGAACACTGTGAGTGCAATCTTTTACACACACACACACGCACACACACAGAGAGAGAGAGAGAGAGAGAGAGAAGCAGAGAAGCGCAATTGCCTCTCTCTGTCTCTGTCTCTCTCTGCAAAGGCAGAGGAGCCTGGGAGCCACCGGGGAAGGCTCAAAGAGCCGCATGCGGCTCCGGAGCCGCAGGTTGCCGACCTGTGGGCTAGTTGATTATCTCTTTAGAAGGCCAGATCCTGAAGTTGAAACTCAAATACTTTGGCCACCTAATGAGAAGGAAGGACTCACTGGAGAAGGGCCTAATGCTGGGAAAGATTGAGGCCAACAGAAGAAGGGGACGACAGAGGATGAGGTAGCTGGATGGAATCACTGAAGCAGTAGGCATGAACTTAAATGGACTCCAGAAGAGGACAGGAAGACCTGGAGGAACATCCATGGGGTCGCGATGGGTCGGACACGACTTCACAATTAACAACAACAATAGGTATTGTTAATGTCTATATGCCTATTGATGGCTACTTGGTCAGAGTTAATAATGTTAATTTCACAACATATGGACAGACTTACCCATAGTTTCAATTGGGAAAATGTCACCATCCTAGGCCAAGCCAAGTCCAAAAAACACTAGGAAATTTCTAGAAGCCTTACACTCTGACAAATTAGCCATCAATAGACATCAAAAATATCTATAGATTCAAACAGAACATTAGAACAATTAGAACAATTAAGCAGTGGAACGAGTTGCCTTCAGAAGTTGTGGGTGCCTCCAACACTGGAAGTTTTTAAGAAGATTTTGGACAACCATTTGTTTGAAATGGTGTAGGGTTTCCTAAAGCCTGAGCAGGAGGTTGGACTAGAAGACCTTCAAGGTCACTTTCAACTCTGTTATTATGCAAAAGACACAATCAACCATCCCAAAAGGGAACAAAAAAACTTAAGCATCTCTCCACTGGCAGTCAGCACCCAGATCAGCATAGATTAAGTCCAAGATTAACATCAGACCAACAATGAAGTAAACAAGTAACCAGACGGATGGCATAGGGAACAAAGAATATAAGAACTAGAACAGTGATGGCGAACCTTTTAGAGACTGAGTGCCCAAACTGCAACCCAAAACCCACTTATGCATCGTCGAGTGCCGGGTGGGTGTGGCCCATAGGCTGGGTGTGGCCCATTGGTTGGGCATGGCCAATTGGGTGAGCGTGGCTGCGGTGGTAACTGCAAACTGGGTAGGACTAAAAAGTTCAATCAATCAATTTCAACTTTGCAAAATCTTTTTTTTTCTCCGCGAGAAGTTGAAATTGACTGATTGAACTTTTTTTTTTTTTTTTTGCACACGGCGGTGGAGGCCTAAAGTGAAAAGATTTTATAAAACCCAGCTGAAGGCCCAGGACTGGGGCGACAGCGCACGTGCCCACAGAAAGGGCTTTGAGTGCCGCCTCTGGCACCCGTGCCATAGATTTGCCACCCTGAACTAGAATATAAACTGACAGCAAACCCCACTCCTTACTAGCACTGATGATGTTACCTAGTTTGGGTAGTGAAACGTCTGCAAGAAAACAAGCACCAAGGACCCCAGTGATTCACTTAACAACTGTGGCCCCCAAAAAGGTAAAATCAATTGCAACTCACTAAAGAACCACCTTGCTTAGCCACAGAAATTCTGGTTTCAATTTTGGTTGTAAGTCAAGGACTACATTTGCCCATCTCACCAAATCGATAGGCAAATCAGTGCAGTCTTTTTGATGCCTAGGAAAAGCCTAATACATATGGATCACAAAAGGAGAACAACAGAGCACCGTTCCTTTTACTCATAGCTTGAACCGCTCCCTTGCATGATTAATAAGGTACAGCCCATACAGGAAAATGGAACTGGGTGGCAGGCCCATACTGTAATACAACCAGCCAATCTGAAGCCCATTCCCACAATAAACATGAAACAAAAACACAGTGACGCTAACATGGGAATCAGATCTTGCAACAACTCCTACCGTGGTGTCAAATTTGCACCAACAGCACCATCACAGGTCCCAACAATTTCACATATAAGAAAGATAAGAGGTTCCTTCACATGTGTTTCCTCTGATGCGATACATGCCGTAATCTGCTAGCAGTGCTCCTCTGGATTCTACGTCAAACCAACAAGCCAAGTTTTGTGCCGAAAGTATCCATGGGGACAAGTTTAACATCGGAATTCAAAGCAAGGACAAAATATTATCGGAGTGTTTCAATCATCCAGCATAGTCCATACAGATCTCAAAGTAGCCATCTTGGAAAAAGGGGGAAAAAAAACATTACCAGTGCAGTTAAGTGAGAGATTGTGGATCTCGCATACATCAAAATATTTCAGGCTATGCCTGAAGGCATCAAGGAACACAACAATTTTTAATGCATTAGAATTTTTGACTGAGAACATCCTTGTGATCTGTCACATGTAAACTGCATCTCCATAATCAACTTCTTCCCCATCTTTCTCCACACTTTATTTTAATTCTGTATTAGTCTAGCCCAGTGTTTCCCAACCTTGGCAGCTGGAAGATGTCTGGACTTCAACTCCCAGAATTCCTCAGTCAGCTTTGAAGTCCAGACACCTTCCAGCTGTCAAGGTTGAGAAACGCTGGTCTAGCCCCTCTCTATATCTGATAAACTGAACCACTATTGCAGGATCTAATCTGAGTCAGTCAACTGGGACCAGAGATTTATTCTTCAGATTCCTGCTGGAACTCATCCTCAGAGAACTTCTCTCTCTTCAAAAGGGGAGACCATAGACGAGCTCGGAAAAATAAACCTGTAACCCCAATTATTGACTCAGATTGGATCCTGTAACACTATCCTGGGACATGTATATTTGTCTTCAATCAAAAGAGAGCTAGAAGGGACCTTGGAGATCTTCTAGTCCAGCTCCCTGCTCAAGCAGCAGATCTTATACCAGGGGTGTCAAACTGCCAGCCTGCAGGCTGGATGCATCATAGCGAAACCGCGCTCACCCCATTGTTGGCAATGGCAAAAAAGTCACAATATGTCGCGACACATGACGTGACGTTGTGAGTTTGATACCCCTGTCCTATACCATTTCAGACAAGTGACTGTCCAGTCTCTTCTTTAAAACCTCCAGTGATGAAACAGCCACAATTTATGAAGACAAGCTGTTCCACTGGTTAATTGTCCTCACTGTTAGGAAGTTTCTCCTTCGTTCCAGGTTGCTTCTCTCCTTGATTAGTTTCCACCCATTGTGTCTCATCCTGGCTGCAGGTGCTTTGGTAAATAAGCTGACCCTCTCCTTTTTGTGGCAACCTCTCAAATAATGGACTATTGCTATCATGTCACGCCCTAGTCCTTCTTTTTCTAGACTAGCCAACCCCAAATCCTGCAACCGTTCTTCATATGTTTTAGTCTCCAGGCCTTTAATCCTCTTAGTTGCTCTTCTCTGTGCTGTTTCCAAAGTCTCAACATCTTTTCTGTAATGCGGTGACCAAAACTGGATGCAGCATTTTAGGTGTGGTCTTACTAAGGCTTCATAAAGCAGTACTTATACTTCACATGATTTTGATTCTAGGCCTCTGCTTATACAGCCAAGGATCATATTCGTTCATGAACCACTACAAACCAAAGCTTATGCTCTTTTAAGAAGATTTGGAGAAGATGCTATCAGACTCCTGAAGAGGATGGCAAGGAGCCATAGGGCCCCCTCGGGAGAAAAGTGGAATGATGCCACCCAGATTCCAGGCACCCCAGAATGACCAATGCAGTCTTTTGCCCTAAGACAAGACCAGTGTCGTATATGTAAGAAATTTGGCCACGGGGGCATTGAATGTCCTTTGCGTTCCCTTCCCAACTGTCCTATAGGGCTTGTTACTCCACAACCACACTTTAAATACTGGGGGGGGGGGTGTCAGGGGCTGGGGGGGGGCTTTGTCTCCCTGTTCTTTTGGATAATCCCTAAGACACCATATGTTCCCGGGGGGGGGGTTAGGATATTGGGTGTTTCCTTTGCTGTCCTTTTATGACCCTGCATTCATGGTTTTGCAAGTGGCCAGAGATAGCTGGGCCATTTGCACAAATTCACAATTGATACTTCCTATACTGTCCCTTAAGTCCGGGTCAACACCTTCACAATTTTGTTAAAAAGAAGAAGGATAAACTCTACCACCCCTCTGGAGATGCACGAGTAGAAATGTCAAATGTCTTTTTGCACAGGGGAAATGTACAAGCCAAGTAAGATAAGAGGCTCAACCAGGGCCAGTTCTTTGCAATGTGTGTTGTGTGTGTGTGTGCAACAGCACTTGTGTAAGCAGCCTAGAGTCAATTCAGAGAGCGAGATTCCCTTTGACCCCTAATGTCAGAGAGCTTCTTGCCACCATGGCACATAGTTATTGGCTTGGCAGCTCAGTTTGCACGAAACGCCCTCCGGTTGCCTCTCCAGGGACACGGTGGACGCAATCAAGCAACGTGATTTTGTTTGCTCTTTGGAAAGGCAAGTGTACATGTGGGCCGATGTGTGTACAACCCAAACAGTTCTTTTCCTTCCCCACCTCCAATCCCCTATCTTTTATTGACTTAGGTTTCCTCATTGTAATAAAATAAAGCAGATACGATATCAAACCGAATAAAGCACCTGAGGGTGCAATTTGCTGACTGCGATCCAGCTGATAAGGCGTAGTCATCAAACTTTGATTGAATCACCCACTTAGGTTTCTTCCTGACGAAATTCCCCCACATGCTCCATCCTGCACTGCCCCATCTTCTAACTCAGTGGTTCTCAACCTGTGGATTGGGACCCCAGTTGGGGTCGAACGACCATTTCACGGGGGTCGCCAAACAACGCAGTCCGCCATTTTTTTTCCTTTAGCTGTGCTACTCCCTTTTATTCTATTGGCTTTTGAAAGCCAATAGAATAGACTCTCTTGAATAGAGTCTAATTCTATTGGCTTTCAAAGCCAATAGGAATTGTCCAGGCTGTCTCTGCTCTGCTGAGCCCGCCAAAAGTCCCATTCTGCAAACAGTGCTGCACCAGTTGAGTAGTCCTCGACTTACGACCGGTTGAGTAGTCCTCAACTTATGACCGGTTGGGGGTCATGGCAGTAAAAAGGTTGAGAACCACTGTTCTAACTAGTCCCATCTTTCTTACTACAGGTAATCCCTGACTTACAACAGTTTGTTTAGTGACCAAAGTTACAGCAGCATTGAAAGAAGTGACTTATGAACATATTTGCCCAAGATGTGGGCATCGATGACCATCGCAGCATCCCGCAGTCATGTGATTTGCACACTTCACAGCTGGCTTCTGACAAAGCTCATTGAGAAGCCAGCAATAAAATTGCAAGTCCTGGTCCCATGGTGGTCTCACTTATTGACTGCAGATGATGCACATAACAACCACATTGAGAGTGAGGTGGTAAATCCATCATGGTCTTGCTGGACAACTATGTCACTTAGCGCTGGCTCCTGTCTCAAATAACTTGCAAGCCAGCCTTGTTTCGTTGTACATTCTCTTGATGATAATAATAACAATAATAACAACAGCAAAAATGCCAATTCCAGTTTAAACATCTGGCTGGCAAAACCCAAGGATGATGATAAATATAAACCTGAAAAAAACTTGCAGCCCAAGTTTGCTCCATTATATTCTTGCTATAGAAGTTTGTGCGTGCCCCAAGTACGTCGACTGGGGAATTCTGGGATCTAAAATCCACACAGCCCAAACTCGCTGAGGCTGAGAAACACTGTCCTAAAACAATAGGGTTCCAGTAGTGGCCTACCTTGAAGGATTGACAGTACTCTTCTTTGAACTCTACTGCCCCGCCCCCACCTACCATTTTTAAGAGGCACTTCCTCCTCTACTTGTTCAGACACATCAGAGAATTCGGTGTGACTGACAGCAGGGTTGTCCTGGATGTTCCTTTCATTGATCCATGTGAGGAAGACTAGTTCTCCAGTTCACAATGTACCTGGAGATATCATGCAGGATCATGATGGGGTCCTTGGGAGGCTGGAATGAGTCAGTACCTCTAATTCATCCAGATGTCAGTGACCAACAGGCACACAGCTGATAGTCAGTCTCTTTCTGAACATCTCCTGCTTCTGCCTGTGAGACCTGTCATCTTCTCCCAATATCCTGCTAAGTCTGACAGCTGAGCAGCTGATAAAACCACACACTCCCATTATCCACTGATTCAACTCTAATGTGTCTGGTAGCCTTGGAACTTCTCCCAGATGTGTATGATAGACACCAATGATCCAACCAGCTAAGTTGAAGCCCTCAGGTAGTCTTTAATTGCAGGCAGGTAACTACCGGAGATAAACAAAAACTTACAACATCTACAATGTCTTACATCTGTTTGACTTTTTCTCTGGTTGTTGAGCCTATGTTGCAACTCAACCTTGTTTTGGGCATCTGTGGTTGGGATCTTAAGCATGGACTACACCATCAGAGGAGTCTGGCCTGGATCCCTGGTTGGTTTTAATGGCCCATTCTTCCAAATAGTCCCCAGCAAGGTGATGGCATCTAGCCAACTTTAGCTGACCATGCAAAGTTAAACAGGGCTAGACCATGTTAGTCAGGCCTGCTGGCTGAGGAATTCTGGGAGTTGAAGTCCACAAGTCATAAAAGGGCCAAGTTTGAAGACCCCTGGGAGATCAATAGGACAACCTATTTTTGTATTTTTGGGGAAAAAAACAAAAATCCTGGAAGGTACATGAACACTGCCGCTTTGTATAATTTCAACTTTTGTTCATCTCAGTCAACTTGCCCCATCCTCCAAGGAGGAGGGAAGGGACCAAAGAGAGCCTGGGAAAAGCCAGGCACAGAATTGAATCAGCTCTGACATCTGAGGTCCATTCTTACACTTTGCTTGTCTTTTAAGTCAGGGCTTTTCAACCTTTTCATCCACTCTACCACTTTTAGGATATGGCAGTATCCGAGTACCACCAGTCGTCTAGCAAAAATTTGATGACACCCCCCCCCAAAAAAGGAAAAAAACGGATGAAGTTCAGGTAGTCCTCAACTTACAACAGTTCGCTGAGTGACTGTTCGAAGTTACAATGGCACTGAAAAAAGTGCCCCCCAAGCCACAGCCGAGCAAGACACCTGCCTGCCCACCCGGTGGCGCTCTTCCTCCTGTCCAAGGTTTTCATTGTTGTGAGCATTTCTGTTGAGGATTGGCAGGGGGTGGGTTGGGGGGTGTTTGGTTTTTATTCCCCCCCCCTGTCTGCTGGGTGGTTGCAGCAGATTTTGGTCAAGTCACACATGACCCTGGGACACTGTGACCGTCATAAGTATGAATCAGTGCCAAGCATGTGAATGTAAATCACAAGACCCTGGAGATGCTGCAACATTCCAGCTGATCAGTGCTTCTTCTGGGCTCAGCAGAAGCGCCAGGATCAGCACCGAGCTCCAGCTGGAGCTTGGCGCTGATCCTGGCGCTTCCGCTGAGCCCTGACAGCCCTGCAGCTCCAGCCATCTCTTGCTCAGGCTTGTGTGGTGCTGCTACTGTTTCAACTCATTCCCCTCCCCCGTTACCCCTTTTCTAGGATGGTCGCGTACCACCTGCCAGGTGCCAATGTACCACAGGTGGTACCCGTACCACTGGTTCAAAAGCCTTGTTTTAAGTCACCCCATACTGGAGAATGTGGGCCATGATCTCTGGAAAAATCTCTTTGCAAAGCAGCCCCTAGAACTGGGCTTCTCTAAAAAGAACGATTGGAAGAAGAGAGCTAATGTGTCCACTGTCTCATTGGCATATGCAGAAAAAGAAACTCCTGGGACCCCTTCCATTTTTGTTGTCAAGCTGTGAGAGGAATTGCAGATGGCAATAGAATCCGAGTCAGCCCGGACAAAATGTATAAATAAAATAAAATAAAATAAAACGTTTATTTTTAAATAAATCCTTGTAAGTCCTCGAATTACGATCACAAATTGGGACCGGAAGTTCCATTACTAAGTGGTTGCTAAATGAGTCATCGTGTGACCCATGCCGGATTTCACAATCTTTTTTGTCCTAAGCCAGTGGTGGCAAACCTATGGCACGTGTGCTAGAGGTGGCACTCAGAGCCCTCTCTGTGGGCATGTGCGCCATGCCCCGGAGATGGCAACTGTCCCTCTTCAACCAGCCACCCGCTGACTTGCCGAGGTCCCACGTGGCCGGATGCATCCCAGCACCCATGCGCTCGCTGGCCTCTGTGTGCAGGGGCTGATGGTGTCAGGCCACAGCTGCCCGGCCCGCCTCACCTTGCCCTATGACAATGGCACCCCCGCCTGCCTTGCCTTGCCTCGCCTTACCCTGCAGGATGAGCCTCCTGCCCACCGCCCCACCTGCCAGAGACCCCCTAGATCTCCCCCAACCCTGCCCAGCTCCCACAGGGGTCCCTCCCCATGAGCAACATTGAGGCAATCACGCCCACCTTGGCCACACCCATCCAATCTGCCATGACCACCACAGCCACGCCCATCCAGTGGGCCACAGCCACCTGGCACCTGGCGATAAATAAGTGGGTTTTGGGTTGCAGTTTAGGCACTCGGTCTCTAAAAGGTTCACCAACACTGTCCTAAGCAATTATGCAATCATTGTGGTTGTTAAGCACATCTGGCTTCCCCCATTGACTTTGCTCAACAAGAGCTGGCTGGGAAGGTTGCAGATGGCCATCATGTGACCTTGGGGTGCTGCAATCATTGTGCTATACATGCTGTTTGCTCAAATCATGATACAGGGATGGTGGTTAGCACAAGAACCGTTCATAAGTCACTTTTTTCCAGCACTGTTATAACTTTGAACGGTTGCCAAAGGAGGACTAAATGGAGGACTACTTGTAAAGGTTCTCCAGGCGTTGGTAGAGCACAGGAGTGACCTTAAAAAAAAAAAAAAATCAGTTTTGCAGAACAACTTGGTTCATTTAAGGAAAGAGTTCCCTGCCCCCCACCCACCTCCCGAATCTGGAGCAAAAGAACTTCCAGATCCAGGAGTGTATCTTGAGGAACTGAGGGTGTGTCAAGTGAGGGTCTTGTGATGGGTCAGGTGTGAGTCATTAGAAAGTCTTGTGATGGGTCTCGTGATGGGGAAGTTGCTCCAGGTCAGGGTCATTGGGAAGTGAACTGCTGGTGGGGCAGGAGGGGGCTTGTGGGGGTTGGTTGAGGGTTGCTGTTGTCTCCGGTTGGCTTTGCAGTTGATTTGGATCCTGAAGGGTTCCTAGGCTGGTTGTAGATCAGTGTGTCTGTTGATGGAATTACTTGTGGAGTGCCAGGCTTCGATGAACTGATGGGTGTGGCAGGTGGTAGCGTGGCCGATGATTTTAGTGTTGCTCCAATTGAACTTGGTGTTGTTTGGTGGAGATTAACGATTTGGGATTGTGGCGTTTGACTGCCAGCCGGCATTCGTGGATCTTGGTTTTTAATTGACGTGATGTTTGTCCCACATAGAACAAGGCCCTCACTTGACACACCCACACCTGAAGCCCTTATAAACAGAACAACACTGACACTGACATCCCTTAAACTCCACTGAAGATGTTACCTAGCCTGGTAAGGAAACTTTCAGAAGCCAACCCACAAGCTCAGAGAACGAACCTTCAGCCTCAAGGATCAATAGATCAGGCCGGGATCAAAGAAAGATGAGGATCGAAAAGGAGAATCTCATGAACTTTGGGCATGGAATATGATAGATGATGTACTGTAAAGGAGGCACTTGATGAGGTCAGTATTTGAAGCCCAACAGGGTGACATCTAAGGCTCACACATATAGCAAATAAAATAACCATGGCTATCTATCTATCTATCTATCTATCTATCTATCTATCTATCTATCTATCTATCTATCTATCTATCTATCTATCTATCTATCTATCTATCTATCTATCTCTATCTTCCACCATGAGTCTGCTTCTCCCTACAAATTGTTCAAATTTGTATCTATTCATGTCTTCTTAAGGACTTTCTGTATAAAGGTAGTCTTTGGTTTACAATCATTCGTTTAGTGACCGTTCAAAGTTACGACGGCCCTGAAAAGTGACTTATGACCTGTTTTCACACTTACAACATTGCAGCATCCCCCATGGTCCTATGATTAAAATTTGGGCATTTGGAAAACATATCTATGACAACTGCAGTGTCCCAGAGTCATGTGATCATGATTCATATCTTCCTAGCTGGCTTCCAACAAGCAAAGTCAATGGGGGAAGCCAGATTTGCTTGATAAAATAGAATACAGCTGGAAGGGACCTTGGAGGTCTTCTAGTCTAGCCCCCTGCTCAGGCAGGAGAACCTATACCATTTCAGACAAGTGACCGCATGATTCACTAAACAATTGCAGTGATTCACTTGACAATCGCAGCACAAAAGTTGTAAAATGGGGCACAACTCATTTAACAACTGTCTTACTTAGCAACAGAAATGTTGGGCCCAATTGTAGTCATAAATCGAGGACTACCTGTAGTCACATTCTGTGTTGGGCAAAACCTTCTCAAAGAGATATGGCAGGTCAAGGACTTGTGGGTGGAGATGGTATCGCTCCATCAGATGTTGTACCTGCAGCCTCTTTGGCCCAGGATGAGTAACAGCACGTTTGTAAGTCCAGGACTAATCCTATTGTTAAGAACCGCAGGAACAAAATATTGCATTTTCTTCTTAATCACCTCTATTGATTACCACTAATCATCATATGTATGTTAATTTATGGATATGACTATATATATTTTTTCTTTTGAGAGAAGGCATCAGAATTTCATTTTTTTAATGTGTGCCAGTGCATTCGCAGAAAAAAGTGACAATAAAGGTCTTGTTTTATCTTATCTTATTCTCCTTGTATTAGAGCCAATGGGGAAGTAGGAGGAAGAATAGAAAAAGAACATCGCATTTCCCGAAATGTCCAAAGGTGCTTGGCAACTGGATTTTCTTGTTTTTCTTTGAAGTGGAGAATGGAAGGATCATCCCCATCCAGTCAGAGCTGAAGAAGCTTCTTGGATGAGAAGCGAAACGTCTTCAAAGGAAAAACAAGAAAATCCAGTTGCCTCGTGGAAAAAAGCACCCTTGGGACAACCGTGACCTAAATGACTGAGAATCTCCATAGACATTGTTTCCCCAAATTTAAACAAAACTTTTACAGTTTTTTTTTTCCCCCATAGCCACAGCCGGACAGTGTAAAAATAAAACCGGCTTTAAAAAAAAAACACCGGACGGTTTTACGGGAGAGTTAGGCGAGGGGGAAGTGATGAACAAGGGGGGTAAATTCCCTCTTCTAACCCACGTTAAGGGACCGATGACTAAGTGGTAGATATTCAGAGAAGGGGATTTCTGGAAGCGGCTGAGGGTTGGCAAGGAAGCAGCTCCGGCATTCACGCACGTTCGCACCCTGGCCGGCCGCGTGTGCCGCGTCAGTGGAAATCCTCGCTTCCCACCGCACCCCCTTCTCGCCCGGCCGCTCTGCCTCGATGCCCCCCCACTCGCGCGCGCCTTTAACCAGGGGGAATGAATGGAAATGGGCGGAACAGATTCCCTGCCGTGACGAGAACGCCGGGGTCGCCCGGGGCAACCTTTGTTGCCGGCACGAGAAGCCACCCGATTGGCCGGCGTCTTTATGACGACACGTTCTTTTCTGTTTAGAAGGCCGGCCGAGCCTCCGGTCTCTCCGCAGAGCAACGCGATTCCCTGGAGGAACCTTCGGAAGCGGCGGGGGAAAAGAAAGAAAAGAAAAAATCACCGACTCGCATCATGGCCAACCCGCGGGAAGAAAGGTCAGCGTGGGAACGTTACTATTTAACCGGGTTGCTCCGGGGAGGAGGATTGCGGGAAACGGGGGAAGGTCCTCGGTGGAATAATTATGGTCCATCTGTCTCTGATCCGAGGGCGGCTTTCTGATGTATGTGTGTGTCTGGATTACAATTCCCATTATCGCCGGCCGCAGATGGGAGTAGTCATCCGACACGTCTGGATGGCCTCGGGGTGGTGAAAGCGATTTTAAGGAGTCCCGGCTTGGGGGGGGGGGAGAGGGAGAGGGGAATATCAGCGGATATTTTTCAGCATCTTTTTTTTTAAAAAAAAGAGGCAATTCGCTAAGGACCCCTATATTTTATCTCATGCTTTTGAATGGGTGGATGTTGTAAAATTTACCAATTTATAATGTAAAATAATCGGGGGGGGGGGTTAATCCTCAGAAGAGTCTGGAGAGGTTGGGTAGATTATTACTGTTATTATTACCATTGCGGTGGCTGCTATATAGAATCTCGCCTTCTAGCTAAACTCAGGTCCGTTGGTCTATTACAGGGGTAGGAAACCTTGGCTCTTTTATGACTCGTGGACTTCAACTCCCAGAATTCCTGAGCCAGCATGACTGGCTCAGGAATTCTGGGAGTTGAAGTCCATGAGTCATAAAAGAGCCAAGGTTTCCTACCCCTGGTCTGTTAGGACAGATTTGTGTAATTGTCTTGGTTACCCGTTCCTCTTTATTGATGGTTCTTTGAATTCAGTCTTGGCCACGTTTCTTAACCTGAGCAACTTTATGATGTGTGGACTTCAACTCCCAGAATTCCCTAGCTAGCAGCTGGAGAATTCTGGGAGTTGAAGTCTGCACATTTTAAAGTTGCCAAGGTGGAGAAACATTGGTGTAGACTACAACTGTGACCTTTCCCCGTGGTCTCCCATCCCAGAAATCAAGGTCAAGTCCTGATTTCCCCCCCCCCCCCCGTAAAATCAGCTGTGGGCTGCTATCCTCTGTGACATTTTCATCACTGCTAGTAGTAGTAGAGGTTAGTAGCATTCCCTTACAGCAAAGTTAAGCAGTGCATGAACCAGAAGCTTCAGAGTTGACACAATTTTAAAAATTATTTTAATCTGCTCATCTTTTGGGGGGGAGGAGGGGGAGTACTCTTCTGAAGCATCCTCTCTGTTCCTATCATTATGGTGGTCCTTATTCCTTTGCTGAACTCCAGCCTCAGCTGTGGAAAAGTTCTTTGGGATATTTGGAGTTTTGATTGGGGTGAGAAAATTGAGCTAGGGACTTAAGAATTGGGCTCAAGAAGTGGAAATCATAGCAAGTACATTACTGTTATTGATCAATTACATTCCTGAAGTAGCATGGAAACATTTATGTAGCTTCTTTAGACCGAAAGATCCTATGTAAATACTTCATGTTCCAAATTTAATTTGCATATTTTATCCCAGCTCTCCAACAGGCAGTGAGCTCCCTCCTGCTTCTTTAGCCTGTCAGGTAGGCTGAGGTTACAAGTAGCTTTAATTTTCCATATATGAGAGGCAGAATTGGTTGTGCCTAGCCTTCCATCACCTACTACTCTCCCCACTATATGCCAGGACTAGCTAGGAATTCTGGGAGTTGAAGTCCTAAAGCAGGGGTGTCAAACACAACATCACATTATGTGTTGCACTGCCTGCAGGCTGGCAGTTTGACACCCCTGTCCTAAAGGATCTGGAGACCATTAAGTTGCAAAGATGTTTCTGGTTCAATTTGTTCTTCAGTGCAACCTGTAAAGTGAGTAAGTGCTGTTATCAATCTGCTTCAGGGTGTGTGCGTGTATCTGTGCCCATTAGGCTTTCAAGAAGGCATTGAATTCATGTCTGAAATGACTTTTTGCCTTTCTTGCTAATACGTGCAATTAAAACATGCAAGAAACAGGCAAGGGATGAGTGAAACAGTGAACATCCATTTGAGGTGTGTGCTAATATGATGCATCATATTGAAAACTGATTTTTTTCTCTGGCCTCTGAACCAATTTGAGTCAAAAGAAAACTTGAGTCATTTTTAATACGGAAGGGGACTGAGAAATTTTATGACTTCCAATTCCTAAATTGCTCAACGGTGTCTTGATGTAGTTTCTATATGCTTCTGCCTATGAAAACTGAAATTCTTATTTTTCCCCTCACTATTTGAGAATGGAAAGCCCAAGAATATTGAGGTTTCCAGAGTTTGCTTATGTGATTTGGGAAAAAAGTATTCTGTACTAGGTTAAATTTCCCTCAAAATTGAAGGACAGGTCCTTGTCACGTGACTGCTGGTTTCCCAGGCCAATTTTTTAAAATGAAGTTTGATTTTAATTAAGATGCCCAATTGTTCCAAATTCTAGAAAGTGAATATTGTGAGGTTCTCATGAAAGAGAATGTCGCGGAAAAACCCAATGAAAAAGACAAGAGACAGCTGCACAAAACAATAATTCTTACTTTAAGATTCAGAGGTTTATTTTGCTAATAATTTGGAACATCGCAAGCATAATAACACAACATCGCTTACATTAATAACCCATTGCAATGAGGACCATATGGCATAGCACAGGGGTAGGCAACCCAAAACATTCAAAGAGCCACTTGGACCCGTTTCCCACCAAAAACAAAACACTGGGAGCCGCAAAATCCTTTTGATATCTAAAAGGAAGATAATACTGCATATATCCTTTTTTACCTTATATATTACCTTATATATGTGTCTGTATATATATATATATATATATATATATATATATATATATATATATATATATATATATATATATATATATATTGGGTTGCCTACCCCTGTTCTAACCCTATCTTATTATATAAGGGGGCTATATTTTCATCTCCCACAAGAATATATATATATATACACACACACATACATACATACATACACACATACATATATATACACATACATACATATATATACACATACATATATCTCATAAAGGTAAAAAAGGATATATGCAGTGTTATCTTCATTTTAGATATCAAAAGGGTCTCTCTTTGTGTCTCTCTTTCCCTCCCTCTCTCTCCCTCTCTTTCTGCCCTTGGTTTGCCAGTCTTCTTCCCCCTCTCTCTCTCTCTCTCTTTCCCCTTCCCTCTCTCTCTCTCTCTCTTTCTCTTTCTCCCCCCCCTCCCTCTCTCCGATCTTCTGCTCACCTGGCAAGCTGGCTTCAGGCTGTTCTCCAACAAGCTCAGGGGTAGGCAACCTCGGCTCTTTTATGACTCATGGACTTCAATTCCTAGAATTCCTGAGTTACCATAACTGGGCTAGCTAGCTCTTTCCTGCCCTTCCTGCTTCCTGCTTCCTCTCTTATACACACACATACACACAGAGAGAGAGAGATAGAGAAGCAGGGAAGCGCAAGTGCCTCTCTCTCTGTCTCTATCTCTCTCTGCAAATGGCAGAGGAGGCTGGGAGCCACAGGGGAAGGCTCAAAGAGCCGCATGCGGCTCCGGAGCCGCAGGTTGCCGACCTGTGTCCTATAGAAGTAGAAGACTGGCAAAAACTGTGGGATAAAAATATTAGGCTTACTAAAGCAGTAACATACAAAGAAAACTTATATAAAATGTTTTATAGATGGCATATGACACCAGTCCGCTTAGTGAAAATGTTTAAAAACATATCAGAAACATGTTGGAAATGTAAGCAAAAACCAAGTACTTATTATCATGCCTGGTGGACATGTTCCATTGCAAAAAAATATTGGTCTAAGATTCATAGATGGTTAGAAAAGATGATGAAAATCCAGATAGAATTTAAACCAGAACTGTTCCTGTTAGGTATATTAAGACCTAACTATGGCAAAAAAATGATTATTTAATATTACATGTATTAACAGCTGCAAGAATAGTATTTGCCTAATTTTGGAAAAATGAAAACCTACCATCAGACCAGATTATAATTTTGAAAATCCTAGATTGTGCAGAAATGGACAGATTAACGTTAGAGATGAAGGAAAAAGAAGATTCACTCTTCTATAAAACCTGGGGAAAATTTTATCAGTGGGTTGAAACACATTAGAATAAGAAGAGATTTTAGAGTTTTACTGTATTAAGTATTAAGGTTGATGATTGGAAATAATTGTTATGCTATCAACTATGTTAATTATTTAAAGGAATGTTAGCCTTTTACCAAATATCAGTTGTAACTATATCGATTTATTCTTATAAATGTCTAGTATTATATAAAAATAATTCTTAATATGAAGACCCGGACGACAGCTTGTTCGTTGAATTATGTGTTTACTGTAGTCAGCCACACCCTGTCCCTTTTATCCTGATTTTCCTGTACCCACACTGACCCCACCTTTTCCCTACCCATATAAAATCTAATAAAATATATTTAAAAAAAACTGCAGAAAGTTCAAGTTAAAGCTTCAAATTACTTCTGTGGGGGCCTATTTCAGGTTTGTTCGGCAACCTGCGGCATGTGGCTCTTTGAGCCTTCCCCTGCAGCTCCCAGCCTCCTCTGCCATTTGCAGAGAGAGACAGAGAAACTCTCTCTCTCTCTCTCTCTCTCTCTCTCTCTCTCTCTCCCTCCCTCCCTCCCTCCCTCCGTGTATGTGTGTGTGTGTGTGTGTATGTGTGTGTGTAAAAGAGAGTGGACAGCAGGAAGGGCAGGAGAGAGCTAGCTAGCCCAGCTAGGCTGACTCAAGAATTCTGGGAGTTGAAGTCCATGAGTCATAAAAGAGCCGAGGTTGCCTACCCCTGAGCTTGTTGGAGAGCAGCTTGAAGCCAGCTTGCCAGGTGAGCAGATGATTGGAGAGAGAGGGAGGGGAGAGAGAGAGGGAGAGAAAGAGAGAGAGAGAGAGAGAGAGAGAGAGAGAGAGTGGAAAGAGAGAGACAGGGAGAGGAGAGAGACAGAAAAAGACCCTTTTGACATCTAAAATGAAGATAACACTGCATATATCTTTTTTTACCTTTATGATAAAAGTTATCTTGTTATCTTCATTTTAGATATCAAAAGGGTTTTGCGGCTCCCAGTGTTTTGTTTTCGGTGGGA